TAAACTAAAGGGAAAAGGTAGCTGTGACTGTTACTACCACTACATGACATTAAAAGGTGGAACAAAGCATTCAGAACTTTAGAGACTAATAAACTGGGACTATGTTTTTGATGAGGTGACATTAGAATATGGCTTAAAGCTCACAAGGGTCAATTTTGTGTAGTATAGGACCTTTAACGGTGACAACATACCCTGCTATTTCTAATGCAAGTAGCCGTGGGTCATGGGAAGTTGCCGTGGACGCCATCATCATCATTGGGTTGTATTATTTTGCGTGGGGCTGCGATATTGACAGCAAATAATTTCTATACGAACTACAAAGCATTGAGAAATTGTGAACTCTCTCTTTGTGACTGCTGCAGTGAGTCTCGTCGTTTTGGTCTTAAAATGTTTGTATTAACCCACTCTACGTGCAGCCTGATTCATCACCCAGTTTACTTCATGGAAATCATCTGACCTCGCAGCATTGGGTACTTTTTTCATTTAACCAATCGCTGCTATGTGGTCATGACGTATGTAATGCGCCAAATCCTGTAGGAAGAAGGGCAATAATGTCTTTTCCCTTGATAAAATTCACCAAACATTCTCTTTTTTCCAGTTTTAAATCCTCGATCTCGGGAATTGTTGCCAACACAGAATGTATGGCTTCATCTACATCCATCTCGACCACTTTGTTTACTGTTGTGCTGTACCACAAAAGGGACTTGAGTTTGACATCATGGCTTTACAGCTCTTCTCTGATTAGGCGGTGCGAGTTCTACAACTTCCGAGGTTCTTGCAAACCGTCTAGTGTATTCCGATTCCTGGCCTAGTGAAGAAAAATGAAATTGGGCGGAGACACTTGGTGGCGCCAGCCTGGCTACTCTACATGATCCTGATTCACAAATTCCTATTCCTAAAATGACACCTCATAACTGCCAGCTTCCAGAGCTTCATTTGACTGAAGCCAAACGTTATGGGTGACATCACACTCCCTTAGTTCACTTCTTTATACAGTGTGTGGTGAGTGCGCGTGAACACTGAACATTTTACACAAATCAGCTTATTTTATTTTATATTTTAGCAGCAAAACTTTCTCAAATTCTCCACTGAAATGAACCAATGAACCAAATGAACCAATTAACCAGAAGTGCCGCCACAAACAAAGTGTGGTTTAGTTGTGTTTAGGGGCGAAAGTGAGCAGGGTGGAATAAGGTCAATACTAAACCACGAAAGAATGAATAAATTAGATAATTGTATGAGTTTTACCATTTCTATTTTAGTATCCTCTTATACACTATGTTACTGACCAGAATCTTTGATTGTGAAAAATACACTGCAAATCTGATCACAAACAAAATACTATAAAATGTGTATTATTAGAAATGTATAATTATATTTGGGCCTAGATACTTTTTTTTCTCAGATTTATTCTGTGATACCTCAAAGATATGAAAATGAATCTTGTGAACTTTGTGCCATAGTAGAATATTGTTGCCTCATCAAAAACATTACTGAGGTTTTTTTTTTTTTTTTTTCATCCACACATTTTTGATTTATCCTTTTGACCTTTGGGGATGCAGACTGACAAAATGCTCTGTTCCACCTTTTGATGTCATGTAGTGGTAGTTTTCAAATTAACAGCTATCTCTTACCTTTTGTTTAGCAGAGACTGACAATTCCACATCTGAAATTATTCAGACTATTGTAGTTTAAAAACACAGTGGACACAAGAACTCAGTCTAAATATGCAAAGTTTGTGTGTTAAAAATGTGTGAATGAAACAAAACACATCTCCAGGTATGTTTTTGATGAGGAAACATTATAACATTGATCAGAAAATAGCACAATATGGACCCTTTAAACCTGTCTGCAACGAAAATATGAGGATCAGTTGGAATTTTTTTGAAGATTTACATTTAAAAACAATATTTATACACTAAATACATGGCTTCTGAACTCCATCTGTGACTGCATATACTGTATAAAGAATAAATACTATATACAGTATATCATTTGAGATGTTACCATGAAGAACACGACCTGCTTCTTCTCCCTCAGGACAAAATGCTGTGAGTGGGATTCTGATGTTTTTGCATTTTACACTCACCAATATAGAGTACTCCGCTTCGAGGCATGTACTTTAAATGGAACTGAAATGAGTAATTTATGTACCACCTGGACGGCACTTTGCTATAAAAAAGCACAGAGATGATGCTCAATCCAATTAAAAACAGATTTAGGACGGATTTGAAAACGCAGCCCCCAAACCTCACCATCTGCGGAGAGTGAAGGCTGTACATGAAAATTAGCAGCACAAATATCGTCATCTGTCTCTAACAAGGGACGAGATCCACCAAACCTGCTCCAGGAGTACACAGCAATTAGACCAGAGTGTGTGGTGGTATATACGAGCGTGTACAAGTATGCAGACAATTGGTGAAGTAACACTGCCATCTACTGGTCACAAGCAGCTCTTTGCAATTTGTTATGTCCTGCTCATGGCTGCTGGAGTAACTATAACTTTTCAAATGCTTTCTTCATGGAGTTGTTTTTGATTTGTCTGGAATGGAGACCAAACCAGACCAAGTTACAGGTCAGATCTGTGGAGAGGCAACCCCGCTCACAGTCAGAATGTCTGTTTTTCAATGTATTTTCGAGCTATAAAACCACCTGTAATGAATACATGTGAGGTAGAGCTGTTTAATGTCTTACTGTGGAACATTCTAACCAGAGCTGTGACATATCCATAGAAACAAGCAGGTGATGGACCCTACATGAGAAAAGTTACATGGTGCACCTTTAATATGTATTGAAAACTGTAAAAACCTGTTCAAACATTGCTTAAACATCATAATTTTTGTCAAGTTAATTAGCAGATTTGCATAGCCTTTCAACTGCATTCTAATTACATACATACAGACCTTCTTTTACAACATGGCAATAGTTTATTATTAACCTTGACTTCTCATAATTTTTTTATTTTTTTAATTATTTATTTATTTATTTTTTATATAGGTCATAAATAACACTATAATAGGGAGACATTCAGTCAACTCTTTAAGTTTTTCAAGTTATCGTGGTATGGGTCAAATATGGTTAATTATAGCCTACTAATATATTATAATGTTATGGGATTAAAGAAACTCGCTAGACTAATTAGTAGGGGTGTAAAGATATCCAAGTCTCATGATACAGTATCGATACAATGCGATATCGACCACGTACGATATTGTGGCCATATTGGCTTGTCAAAGCCTGATCCCGTCAGATCTCAGAAACTAAGCAAGGTTGGGTCTGGTTAGTACTTGGATGGGAGACCACTGGGAAAATCAGGTGCCACAGAGTGGTGTCAGTCATACAAAAAAAAAAAAAACTGTTGTTGTGTCCTTAGGCAAGGCGCTTCACCCACATCACTTAGTATGAAAGTGGTGTGTGCATGAGTGTTGGTGGTGGTTGGAGGGGCTGATGGTGCAGATTGGCAGCCTTGCTTCAGTCAGTCTGTCCCGGGGCAGCTGTGGCTATAGTAGTAGCTTACCACCACTGGGTATGGAGTGAATAATGCTCTATAAAGCATCTTTGAGTGTCCAAAAAATTGCTATATAAAACTGATGCCTTATTATTATATTTATTTTAATATCTTGGGAAAGCTCACAATATGGTGGGGAGGCTCACGATAGGGAATTAGGGATGTAACAATATCCAAATCTCTTTCAATATTTACGCAATATTTTCATAATGTACATCTTATGGTACGATATTTATTGTGATATTTTGTGGAGCTAACAAAACTGTGAATATGCTACTTTTTCCTCTTAAAATGCCTTAACAAGACTTAATCCAAAGAACTAAGACTTAAAAGTGCTTGGAACTGTTATTTGGTAAATGGTCACATTTTTCTATAGCGCTTTTCCACCTTCAAGGCACTCAAAGCGCTTTACAACAAGGAACCACTCACCCATTCACACATTCACACACACATTCACACACCAGTGTACAAGGTGGGTTAAGTGTCTTGCCCAAGGACACAACGGCAGCATTCATCTGTGGGAGCTGGAATCACACCAGCCAACCTGTGGGTCAGTGGATCTGACTGCTCAAACCTGTGATGTTTACGTTGAGAGCTGGAATTGAACCGCCAACCTCCAGATCAGTGGGCAAATGCTCTACCAACTGAGCTACTGCCGCCTTCATGTAGTCTACACTGAAATGGAGCAAAGGATCATGGTCTATGTAGTTTGCTCTGTCTTTTTTAGCTATTGCTGCACCATAACTCTTAATTTAAGCAAAGAGACTTGTAATTCAAAATATTTGTGATGGTCCACAATATTGTGAGAACTTTGACGATACGATATCATGATATTTCAGTTATTTTTACATCCCTAATAATTAGCTGTACAATACTCACATATTGTGAGTCCAGTCATGAGCTTCCCCTTATGACCTATAGCTCCCATTTCCTATGTTTTTAACAACTTGCAGAACTTGCATCATAGCCTAATTGCAATGCAAGTGCATTTTTAAACCACACACATTCTGCACTGTTCTTTTTTAAAATTATTATTACATCGAAGGTACATTGTGTAATTTTTCTTTGTCTGGAATGTTTCACAGTATGGTATTCAAACTTTCTATCTTCCCGGGGACTAAACCAAACCAAGTTACAAGTCAGATCTGTGGAGAGCTGTAAGAATGCCTGTTTTTCAAGGCATTTTTGAACAGTAAAATCACCTGTAATTGAATAAATGTAGATGTAAATGTAGGTAGAGCTGTTTAAAGCCATACTGAGGAACATTGTAGGCATAAATTAATCAAGGTAGATTAAGAAACTTTTTTTAACCTTTGAGAAAGCCGGTTGCTGTGTTTCAAATGAGATGTTCCTTGTGCACGGTTCTATGTCATTTTAGTACCTTTGGAGCGTCATGCCTCAATTTATTTTCCTTCTTTGAACACTGTGTGGCGGTGTAAGCGGCTTCAGGCTTATTCTTCCTTTCACTTTAAAGCTCCAGGAGGAAGAGGAGGAGCAGAGTCTTCCTCTTACAGTAAACTACTGAACTCTGCTGTCAGGGTTCTGGGAAAGTGCGCATTACGCAGCAATTAGGTTTTCTTTATATCCATGCTTGTCTTCCCCTCACTTCCTGTTTGAATAGCCTTATTTGATACTTCTGCAGGGGCAAAGGTGAGTTGCCTCCTTATGTAAATACATACATTTGTTTATTTTTAGGTTACGTTTCGTGCTTATGCGAAATTATTCAGCATTTGGACAGTTCTGCAATGAGTTATTGGGGCATTGCTGTAGTCAGATTGTAAGTACGCAGTGTGGAAGGACAGAGTGAATGAGAGAGGGAGGGTGAGTGAGGCAGAGAGAGGGGGGAGGAGAGGCATGTCCGAGCTTGTCCAGTCTAAAAGTCATTGTGCCATGATTACTCTGCAGGATCACATTAGACAGTATCCAGGATCATGGCACCGAAGAGGAGAGCTGCTGCCTCCACTGCTGCTAAAGCCCGGGGTAAGAGGGTCAAACAAGAGCCAGAGACTCCCCAAAAACCCAAAGATGCCTACACTTCAGCCAAAGAAGCTCTAAAGGCTGCTGCTCCAGAGAAGAAAGGCAAAAGAAAGGTGGATGAACACTGCTACTTATCTGGAGAGGTAAGGAATGAGGACAATTGCCATACCATAACAATTTAAAACTAAATATGATATCTTCTGAATGGGAAAGTAATGCTTAAAATGCCAAAAAACAGAAATCTGAAACCTATGTAGGGTAGGGAGATAGCCGAGATAAACTAAAAAGTGTATTCATTGCACAGATCAGATTTATCTACAAACTCATTTTCATCTGTAGCCGCTGGGCAGGCAAAGTGACAGCAGGTAGCAGGGTGAAGGTACTTCAGAACATGACCCGTGTGACAGTTCATGTCGTGATTGAGCATAGAGCTGCATTATTCCCAAAATGTTTTTTGTTTTTTTATTTAGTTTCATTCACTCATGTTCACTATTGGGCAAGTGACTTTAAAAATGTAATTTGTTGTTTATTACTTATTACTGTTATTTCAAAGTAATTCATTACATTACAGTATTACTGTATTTAAAATGTAAAGCATTACATTACTATTGCAGCACTTTTAAGTTACTCTCACCAAAATAACTGCGAAGATGCTGAACTTTTGCATCGTATATTGACTGAACCATGACTAAACCAGGACTGAACCGAGGATTGAACCAGGAGGACTAAACCAGGACTAAACCAAAACTGAACCAGAGCTGAACCTGGACTGAACCAGGACTAAACTAGAAGTGAACCAGGACTGAACCAGGACTAAACCTGTACTAAACCAGATCTAAACCAGGACTGAACCAGGACTAAACCTGGACTGAACCAGGTCTAAACCAGGAATAAACCAAGACCAAACCAGGACTAGAACTTGGAATCTAGGACCGCCCCTAAGAGAACCCTGAGTCCGTGGAACAGGATGTCTACAAGGTGCGATCGAGCACCAGCTGCGGTTAGCCACGTGGAGTGTGGAGTTCTGCGCCGGTCCTTTTGCCCGTGGTTACCCGGCAGTTTATGCGGGCGTGTCTCCGGCATTTCACCGCTGCTGATATCGAGGTGATTTTAGTGAATTTGTATGAAGAAAAACCCACCACTTCAATCTAAGTTAAAAATGCATTGTAACGCGTGTTACTGACATTTGTATTGAGTAAAATATTAAATTTTTTTCCCTGTAATGCCTTACATTACTGCGTTACAGCAAAAAGCAATGCATTACAGTAATTTGTTACTTTTATAACGCTTTACTCCCACTGCTCATGTTTAACACACAAACCCTGCATATTAAGACGGAGTTCTTCTCATAAAGGGAAAACAGTGTCTATTCCACCTTATGATGTCATGAGGTAATACAGGAAGTGCTTTTCTCTCTTTTTATACTCCATACACCCTCACTAGAATCGCTGGGATAACTTCACTCCAGGAATTGCCTATCTATACTGAAATAAAGGTAAAAGGTAGCTGTTAACCTGAAAACATCTCACGGTAGAACAGAGCATTTTGAGTTTTGGAGATGTAAATAGAAAATAGTAAAGTATCACTCAGACATGCGTGAATGAAACAAAACACAACTCTAGGTATGTTTTTGAGGAGGTAACAACATAATATAGGACATAGATAGTATTTTTAATTGCTTACACACAGGGTTTACCAATTGTTCAAGGTCAGTGGGTGAGACCGTATCTTCAGGATCCCTCTGTGTACAGATTAATTACTGTACAGTGTATGTCTGCATTGTACCTAAGTTGTACATTTAAATTTTACCAAGGTGACTTAGATGCATTAAATATTGATACCATGAATCCTAAATAGCAGTGATTTCTACTTTTGCGCGTCTATTTTAATATTATCTTGTAGCTGATATTGTGGCCTACTTAAAGAAAGCTCAGACTGCTCATTTGTTTACATTAGTATTTGAAGCATAGTAAATTCAAACAAAATAGTATGCAAATGACGAAGCCAATCCAGCCAATTTGGAGTTATGAGTCTGTCTTGTTTATGTTCAGACAATCAGTGTTGTAGAAGTTTTCAGCTTGTCCAAGAAAGGGTGGAAGTAAAAGGCTGGAGACCATCTGGATGTCTTAAGCGGGAGAAGTTTATTTACGATCAATAATACGGGCCTGGGGGGAATTGAAAAGTCAACATAGTATGATTTCAAAAAGTGAACATAGTATGATCTTTGAGTGTTTAAGCCCCTTGACTCTGCTTCCAAAAGAGGAGGAGGTTTATAAATCAAGTGTGGTGAGACTATGAAGGCCAGAAGGCACCAGTTAGACAGAAGTATGCCACAAGCCACAATTTAGATAGTGGCATGCCAGTGGTATGCCAAGGGAAGATCATGAACTAAGTATAGCTTTTGTGAGTCAATGTTAAACTGAGATGTACGTGGAGGACAAATTACTTAAATTCTCTTACAATCAGGTTTTGAATTAGAAAAACTCAAATCTGTTATAAACGTGAGATCAGTCAAAGAAATAAAATTTTAAAGGGACAGTTTGTAATTTTGGACATAGAGCCTCATTTCCTAGTGAGCCAGAGTGTTGGAGACGTGTGGAGACGCTTTTTTAATTATTCCATCCAGTCCTTGTATTTGCAGAGGTCGCTGGTGCTAGGCTAGTGCATGTCAATGGCCATAGTTAGCCTGCCACTAAAAACAGTTTTACCCAGTCCACAAAACACCCGAAGCGAATCTATTATTACACCAGACTTTTGATGTGAATGTCTGTGTAGATAGAATCATTTTGAATTAAAACCAACCTTGCATTTGAAGAATTTATGTCTGAGCAGCAGCAGCAAGTTGTTCTTCCTGATAGAAAGCTTGGCAGCGGCGGACTGATATATGAGAAAATAGTCCCTCAACATGCGATGATTCATGCCATGCAAGATTAGTTTTATTTCAAACATTATTCTATCAACACAGACATTTACAGCAATAGTCTGGCGTTATAATAGGCTACGTTCAGACTGCAGGGCTTAATGCTCAATTTGGATTTTTTTGTGAAATCTGATGTTTTTGCGAGGTCATTCACATTTCCAATTAAATGTGATGTGTGTATGTGATCTCCAGTGTGAACATTAAACGGCCCAAAAGTGTCCCGCATGCGCACTGGAGGACACAATGACGTCAACCGCAGCGAGCGTGCTCTGTGTTTACGGAAGTTGTCCAAACGTGGATGCGAGCATTGAGCACCTGGCGATTTTAAAGTTCCTCTCGTACTGGAGTCAGAACATGTACAACTTACTTGTTATAAGGAGGAGATTGAGAAGGAGAAGGACGAGGTTTTTGGCCGTGGTGTTTTGTGGGGAAGTCTGTGGAAAGGAACGTGTGGATGCGCAGACGTAGCCAAGAGTGGTGGGATAGCGATGTGCTTTGCTTCAGTGACACGGAGTTCACAGTTTTCATATGACGAGAAAAACGTTTGTGTACATTTGTCGCTTGTTGATAACATGTAGGTGGGATGAATGCGCCTTGGCTGTTCAGACTGAAGTCGCATGTCAAAAGATCGGATATGTATCAGTTTTAGGACCACATATCCATGTGGCCTGGGTCACATGTTGTTCAGACTGTCATTAAAAGATACAGATACAGGTCACATAGGGGCCAAAAAACTGGATTTGGGTCACTTCAGGCTGCAGTGTGAATTGGTTACCATAGATTTGCTTCAGGTGCTTTGTGGAGTGGATAAGACACTTTTTAGTGGCAGGCTAACTATGGCCATTGACATGCGATAGCCTAGCACCAGCGACCTCTGCAAATACAAGGACTGGATGGAATATTTTAAAGAAGTGTCTGCACACGTCTCCAACACTCTGGATAACTAGGAAATGAGGCTCTATGTCCAAAATTCCAAACTGTCCCTTTAATACTTTTTCCCATGTCCAGCCCTAGCTCAGTGTTGACATTATACTAGTCCATTATACGAGTACATTAGTGATATGTTAATTGCAGTCTTGTTTTTCATTATTTTGCAGGTTTATGAAGACTACGACTGCATGCTTAACCAGACAAACATCGGCCACAATAACAACAAGTTCTATGTCATTCAAGTCATAAAAGATGGACCCAGCTGCTTTCACACTTGGACCAGATGGGGCAGAGTGGTGAGTGGACATTTAAATAGATTATAACTACTTATCATGCAATGCCATTATAATAGGTTTAACTCTTGGACTGATTTTTCATTCAGGGAGAAACAGGACAGAACAAACCGAGCACTTTTAAAACAGTGGGAGAGGCTATCAAAGAGTTCGAGAAGAAGTTTAAAGATAAAACCAAAAACAACTGGAGCGATCGGGACAATTTTGTGTCTCATCCTGGGAAGTACACCCTGATCGAGGTGGACGGCGAGCAGGATGCAGAGGTCAAGGTAAAATGAAGTCACATGCGTCAACGTTAAATACAGTGTTGAACAGATAGATATTTATATGTCTTACAGTGGGGACATTACAGTGTTGCAACATAAAATTCAAGAGCAGCAGGAGAATAAGAACATGCACTTATCAAGACGAAGGTTAATTATATTATAAAGATTTACAATAGATAAAAACTCAACACTATTAGAGAGTAAAGCTATAAGGCTATAAAACAAATATACAATAAGTGCCTCTCTGGCTATGAATATGGACAAGAATAAATTGCAGTGACTTCAGTATATTATATTAAAATAAGGGGGTATGGATGATCTACAGTGCAGCATATGGACAGATTAAATTAATAGTGATTTGGTGAATTGTACCAGTAATGATCCACATTATGTTCAAATATTACTACAAATACATGCAAGGAAAGGCAAGTTTATTTGTTTGGCACAATTTGTACACAAAGTAATTCAAAATGCTTTACAGAATAAGAAATATATTAAAATCACAATACAAACAAATCAAAACATAAATAATCATAAAATGTAAAAGAGAGAGACATTAAATGAGAGAGAAGAGTGCAGAATGAAAACCTTTCAGTCACGTGCAGCTAAACAAAACGGTTTTGGGTCTTGATTTAAACAGCGTCAAAGTAGAGGCCTGTCTCAAAGTAGATCTTCAGGAAGACAGGTTTTAGCTGCATGAATCTGAAACGCTGACTCCCCGTGTTTAGTCCTGACTCCTGGTCCTCAGAGTGCGCGATGGTTCATATGACACTAACATATCAGAGATGTACTTTGGTGCTCAGCCATGGAGAGACTTTAAAGTCTATTCTCTGAGCCAGAGTACAGGACTTGTGTGCTCGTACTTCCTAGTTCGAGTCAGGACCTGAGCTGCAGTGTTCTGGATGTTCTGCAGCGTCTCACAGCTTGTTTGGAGAGGCCAGTGAACAGGCCATTACAGTATCTAATCTACCAGAGACCAACGCATGGATAAGTCTTTCCAAGTCTGCTTTAGACAGTAAACCTTTGATGTTTTTTAGATAGTAAAAAGCTGCAGATATTACTGATTTGATGTGGCTGTTGAAGTTCAAGTCTGAGTCCATTATTACCCCTAGAGTTCTGGAATGATTTGAAGGTTTTAGAGAGGGAGACTGGAGGTAACTGCTGACACTGTCTTTTTGTTCTTTGGGCCAAAGACTATGACTTCTGTCTTGTCTGAGTTTAGGTGGAGAAAGTTGTACAGGGCCAACACTGAGTTAAATCTACAAATATTTTTTCTCCATAGACACAAGTATGTGGCGGACTCTCTACCAAAAAATTTCACTGGGCACTTTTGAATTATTTTTGTGACATTTACATGTAGAGTAGGCTTTATTGTAATTATATTCTGAAGGAACATCAAAGGAACTGTATGTAGCCTACACTCTTACAGTTTTAGGTACAGTATTGCAGTCATCAAGAAATGTTTCTGAAAGTTAAAATTAAAATCTTATGTATGATTCCTTTAGCACCAGAAGACAACATTGAACTAAGTCTGTTTGAGGCTGTTTGTCTGATATTGTTCATGGTCAAAAGTGCATAAGTGTATGCATCATTTTTTGTGCTTTCTTTCCTCATACCCTCCTCAGGTGGACAGTGTGGATGGGAAGTCCAAGAGTAATAAAAACGTGCAGCCCTGTACTCTTAATAAACCAACACAGAAGCTGATGGAGCTCATCTTCAGTACAGACATGTTCAAAGAGGCCATGGAGGAAATGAACCTGGGTGAGGCTCTCTGTGAACTATAGGTTTAACTGTGAGGGTCAAAGTTCATGAGACCAGTTCAGTGGCATTCTAACATGTGGGTGGAGCAGGAATGATGCAAAGCAGGCTCCTGGTGGAATCATGTAAAGATTATGTAAATTACTGATGTGCCTGAGCCTGCTATATAGTTACAATCTATAACACACGTGGATCATTTTGTTAGAATATTTTAAATTGCAATATTAATCTAAAATGGCAGTGCCCAGTGGGAGCAGATGTCACTGTAAATACCATGACAATAAAGAGCTGAGTCCTCTCCCAGAGATAGCTGCACTTCACATTAGTGAGCATGTGGATTTTTATTTTTGTACCCAAGTAAGTAAGCGATGCTGCCAAATCCTAAGCATATTACCAATTAAGAAAATAAAACTGGAGAACAAGTAAGTACAGAGCTGTGGCTGTGTGCTGTGGCGGTGAAAACTGGTTGATAGGCAAAATAATGTCTTGAAAGTAAGTGTTTAAAGATCACGCAAACATGCATGACTCACTCCAAATACAACTTCAAGAGGGTAAATGAGAAAGGGAAACAATTATAACATGGTTAAAGCTCTGAAAAGTCAGTTTGCATAATTGGTCTGCTTTAACAAAATATTTGCTCTTCACTTGCAGTTGGTGAATACTAACATATTACCCACTAGTTATGCTGAGAGCTGGCTTATATGAAACAATAAAATATAATAAAAGACACATTTTCTCTTTCAAACTGATACATTTAATTTGATCTAAATATAGCGAGAGAAGTTTTATGGCCCAGTGTTCTTGAAGAAAAACATATTCAGTCCACAGGTGGTTCGGAGATTGGACCAATCATAGTGCAGCGTTGTGGTTTCAGTGGAAGCCCAAGGTGAAGTTCCCAAACAAACATGGTGACACAGAGAGCCATTCCAGATTAGTAATTAGTAATTATTGCTGTAAAATATCCTTGGTATTTCAGTGGTGAAATATAAGAACAGTGAAATGTCAATGGACCCCCAATGACAGAAATATTTCTGATTTTTGTTCAGACATAAAGAAGATGCCTCTGGGGAAGCTGAGTAAGATGCAGATCGCGAAGGGATTTGACGTGTTGGAGGAGATTGAAGCCGCCTTGAACCGGAAAAGTAAACAGTCCGAATTGGAGGAACTCTCATCTAAATTTTTCACCATCATCCCACACAACTTTGGACGCGTCAGGCCCCCAACCATCAACTCCAACGAGATCATTGAGAAGAAGAAGGAGATGCTCATGGTAAGAAAATTCTTTAAAAGTGAACCCTCCTCTCATCCAAGTAGGTTCTTTAGTTCTTCTCTTAAGTGAGTAATTTCTAGGATCACTGCTAAGGCAGTCCTGACCCAGTCTAGCACAAGATCATGGAGATGAGTCTATGAGCACTGCACTGCGATGCTCACTGCCCCAGGAGGAAGGAGTGCCCCAGCGACATTAAAGGATGGGTCAAATGCAGAGGGCACATTTTCCTTTAAGGACAATAAAGTGTACCCTAACCCTAATATGAAGATTCAGAAAAAAAATCTATCCTATATAATATATAATTCAAATATTTGTTGTTTCATACATGTAGAACAAAGACAGAATAGAAACAAAAACAGTAAAGCATCATTTTAAAGGAAATACTCTCCTAACTAATATTTTTGATGTTATTGTCATGTCCCTATAGTTGATTTGGACATATTTTGCCACTGTTTAAAGGTGCTTGCAGACATCGAGCTGGCACAGACACTGAAGTCAGAGACAGAAAAGGCCCAGGAGGAGATGATTGAGACTGTGCCTCACCCAGCGGATCAGGACTACTCCTCACTCAAGTGCAACCTCACTCTGCTCGACAAGAAGTCACAAACATACAAGGTGCAAAATAATCTTTTGATTTGGGAAAAGTCCTCATATTGTTGCATAAAACAGGAATCTGAAACTCATGGATACAGACTAATTACATGGGATGCCTTTAACTCTTTCCCCCATGAAGATGACATTTGACGACCTCCCCTGTACCCTTAATGACCTGTTTTGACACCTCCGCTGTATCACTAAAGACGTGATTTGACGACCATTAGAAACGGCTTGGTTTTTCACATTTAAACAGAGGCTGCGATAGGTGGGGGCCACTACAACCCATACTAGACTGACCAATAGGATTCAAGGATATGTTTTCGCCAATTTTTTTCTGAAGTTAATCGAAATAGTGATGATTGTAGCTTCCGGAAAAAACACAACACGAAACACGTGTAATGGAAAGATCGCGGCTCTGCGGCGCACAGTTTTAGAAATAATGAGGAGGGAACTTATTTTATGGATAAGTTTAGAGAAAGTGACTTCTGTAGATTTCAAAGTGATGATGAAGTTGATCATAAAGTGGAAAACAGTGATAACGACGGACTTTGGGAGGGTGAAACGTACGAAGGTGAGAATGCTGCTGATGCGTCTGTATGGAGTCCTGCGATATCCGAACAAACTATCCGGGCTTTATGCTCGATGATGAACCAAAATTGTCCTTTAAAATATTTCAGTCTTTTTTTTTCCAAGATGCGATGTATGACCGAATTGCTACAGAAACAAACTCTTATGCGGAGCTCTGCGCACGAGAAAGTAGCCAAGATGACAAATACTGAACACCCACTGACAGGGAAGAGTTTTATTATTATATTATTATATTATAATAAGCTAAATGAGTTGAATAAGTGAAATGGAAAAAATGAATTAGGTACATACAGGTGTGCAACAGGTAAAAACAGGTGTACACTTGGCTATACTGTATCTGGTGATATGAAATCTGTTTAAATACTTTAACAAAGTATATATGTAAATATATATTTATTTATTTATTTATTTTTAATGAATATAGTACTCAGAATGTGCAGAAATCAGATGCTGAATGTAGTTTTTTTGTTTTCGATTTTGCACCTGACCAGGTAAACTCTCATATTCGGTGAACTGTTATAAACCTATAAATGAGTTGAATCATATTTAAACATCCACAAATGAATAGTTCAGTGTCCAAGGTTTCCAGAGATACCAAATATGTCTGTGTTTCAATTAAGTTCATGAGTGTAAAAATCATTTATAATCACTCGTGGAAGTCTGTTTTCTTTTATGCAGTTTTGCTCTATGGGCAGCCCTAGTAACATATGTATGGGTTGTTCCTAGTAGACGTCCAGGGGGAAGAGCTAAAAGTTCATATCAGAGCCAAAGTCTATCGAAGGGAAAGATGCAAGCTGGTAGGGTAAGGAGTTAGGGTGTCATTAAAGTAGTTTCTAAGACTGAATCATTCTTAATAAACTCTTTGATATTAAGTATGTTTATTTAAGTCTATTGAAAGCATAGTTTTTTATAAATTGTTCAATAAAATAAATAACACCTGTGATTGACATCTGCAAAATAGATCAGTTTGTACAGTTTTGTGAACCAGGCAAAGCAATAACATTTTCATGGGACAAGCAGATGAAGATTCTACCAGAAAAAAGTTACACAATGCACCTTTAATATTCAGTAGAAATACGAGAAAATACACCATATTTGTAACATATTAACTACATTTTTTTTTTTTCTACTTACAGATAATTGAGAAGTACTTGAACGAAACAAAATGCTCATATATGAAAATCAGTATCCTCAATGTTTGGGAGGTCGACCGATTTACAGAGGTACGTGATGAATGAGTCTTATATTTGCAGATCTTTTTTGTCATTCTGTTTTTTGAAATATCTTTCCGCTGTAGGGAGAGCGCTTCAGTGAGAATGACCACCTGGAGAACAGGCGTCTGCTTTGGCACGGCACAAACATCGCTGTGGTGGCAGCCATTTTGAAGAGCGGGCTCAGGATCATGCCTCACTCTGGGGGCAGAGTCGGAAAAGGCATTTACTTTGCATCAGAAAATGCAAAGTCTGCTGGATATGGTAAGAAAATACATGCTTTTCGATGAGTAGGTATTTCAAGATCGATAGGGCTGCAAACTTGTAAGAATGACTTTCACTGTTTCACTTCTCCTTCTGAACTACTGGTTTCAGACAGATCATTCCTTACTGATTTGAAAGATTTTATGAGGACATTTCTCTTTTCAAAAGATAAAATATTTTGTTTTGAATTGCTATAACAACAGTGGACCATTGCCCTGCCAAATCTTTCAAATCAAGAAAAAATCCTGATGCTTGAAACCCATGAATACCTGAGCATAAAACGATCAGCAACAAAAACTTACAGGAAATACTTGTAATAATTGTAATTGCATTTGACACTTCTTGAGGCTGCATATGTGTACATGTATATGTTCACTGCATATGTGTTTTTGCAGTGGCTATGTCTAAAAACACTGGGATCATGTTCCTGAATGAGGTGGCTCTGGGTAAAGAATACACTGTCACCACCGATCACTGCACACTGAGGAGAGCTCCAAAAGGCTTTGACTCTGTGGTGGCCCGAGGAACAGTGGAGCCAGGTACTCTTCAAACTACCATGTTGTTGTGTGCTCAAGAAAGACACTTCACCTATATTCATTGCATGAATGTCATATGTATATCTAGTGATACTATAAAAGCATCATTTACAAAGAACCTCAATCTTCACCATCTTCAGCAAACATATCCTGATAATTCAAGAACAATTTATTGCCATGTTTTAAAAAAAAAATAAAATCAGATGCTAATGGATAGGTACATGTATTCGTGCTGAACCGTTTTGGTACTGGACGCTCAGTTCAGTGCAGGGCTTTGCACAAGTGAGTTTGCCCAATTTATGTGTGTCTACATTCCACCACTACATGTGCAGCTACACTGAAGGCTCGGCTCTTTCATATTCACAAGGGAACTTGTCCGTGATTGGGGTGGCAGTGTTTTCCACAGCACTTTATAGTTAGGGCGGCCGCCTTGACAACAATTGTCCCCTGTCTTGACTACATCCCTCCGAACTACGTGAATCCTCGTAAAAAGCTACTGTTGTCGCACCGCAGCCCTCACTTTTGCCTTTTGCTGGCACGAAATCTCCGCTTCCTAAGGTCTTAAGTTTCAGTCATAAATGGTAAGAAAATAGTCATCTAATTTCCGTAACTTGTATTATGATGATAAGAAGCACCAGAGGAGAGAAAGATGAGAAAAGGTGAGGACCTGGATCAGAGAGAGGGACGGGGGAGCAGGGGAGTGTTGAGACAGCACTGCGCACACAAACGCACACACAGAGGCAGAGGAAGAGAGAGACTGGACTTATAGTGAACCTGTGCAGATTTAAGTCAGAACTTGTGAATATGTGAGGAGACAAAGGGACACCCTGTGGCTCAGGCTACTTTTTTCTAAACAAGAGAGCATAAATCTTCGTCAGCACTGTGTACTCTTACTGCTGCATGAGTGGCTGTAGACCTGTTTATTAAAAAGAGATCACGAGCTATTGATCTTTCGATTTTTGGCACAGCCCTAATTTAAAGTATTCATTTGTGTGGCAGAGTTTGACAGAACGAGTGCTTAGAGGCTCTGTGTTGCTTTCTACTGTCCTGGCAGAATATACTAAGTTTGGCTCACTTTTGACAATGAAATAAATTGCAACAATGCAGCCACATTAATATACAACATCTGCGTTGATCCAATCTTTATAACTAAAGACAATGTAAATCTCCTTGTAAGCAGACTTTTTACATACAAAACATCATTAGGTTTGGCCCTTGAACCTGAATTAATATTATTTTTGAAGTTTTAGCACTCCTAAAATTTGAAACTGGAGTTTGAATTTTGGAATGATTTGGTTTGAATGATTGTTTTGTGTTGCAGACCCCTCTCAGGACGTAGTCATCACTCTGGATGGAAAGCAGGTGGCAGTACCTCAAGGCCCTGCCATCGCACAACCTCAGTATACGGGCAGCCACTTCTCTAACAGTGAATATCTTGTCTACAAAGAGAGCCAATGCCGGATACGCTACCTGCTCGAACTGCACATGAAATATAATTAACACTTCATTTTACTCTGTAGCTTTTGATGGCTACCTCGCAAATACCATGTAAAAGTAGTGTGTAACCTATAACATGTATCCGAGAGGCATAGGACAATATATAATTATTAAAACAGCTGGAGTTTTCTTATGTTATGCAAAATTGACTTCAGTGAGCTCAAAAACATACCTGAACTTGTGTTTTGTTTCATTCACACATGTTTGAGTAATACTTTATTATTAGTCTGTCCACATCTCCAAAGGTCAGAATGCTCTGTTCCACCTCGTGATGTCATGTAGTGATAGTTTTCAAGTTAACAACTATTTTTTACATTTTGTTCAGCAGAGATTGGCCATTCCAGGGCTGAAATTATCCAAATCATTCTGGTGAAGGTGTATGGTGTTTTAAAAACACAGTGGAGCTATTCTTGTATTACTGCATGACATCACAGAGTGCTACGGTGGTGTTTTCTTTCTAAGAGAAGAATGAGCCTAAGTATGCAGGGTTTGTGTGTTAAACGTGTGTGTGAAACACAACTCCAGGTATGTTTTTGACGAGGAAACAACATGAACTACTTTAAGATTATTATTATTATTTAACATTAAATACTTAAAGTGTTCATTTTACACTATTTTCTGATCTATTTTATAATGTGTTTTCCTCATCAAAAAATTGTTGTTGTGTTTTGTTTCATTCACACATGTAACACACAAACCCTGCACATTTAGACAGAGTTCTTCTCTCAAACAGAAAACAGTACAGGTAATATAAGAAGTGCCCCACTGTGTTTTTAAAGTCCACACACCTTCACTAGAATCATCTGGATGATTTTTGCATTGGAATTGCCAATCTCCACTGAACAAAAGATAAAAGGGAGCTAGCTGACATCGCAAGGTAAAACAGAGATGTAGACAGACTAATAATAATGCACGAATAAAACAAAATACAACCCCAGGTATGTTTTTGAGGAGGCAACAACATTTTAACCTGACAACATGCTGCTAATAGCTGTTCTTCAGACACATGAATGAGAGAGCAAGTAATGCTACAGAACAGCTTTTCATTCATATCCATTACAGATTAATAATGTAAATAAAATTCTGAAAAACACCTCTATAAAGCTCTAAAATAGACCTATCACTGCTTTTTTCGACAACTGACAATGTAAAAAAAAAAATACTGTGTAAAATAATCAACCCATTTTATTTTTTGAATTATGCCTTAAGAAGTGACATATCCCATTTTTTCCAAACATTTGCACTGTGCATGCTGTCATGCATCTGAACAGTTTGCCTTATGTCTGCTGTAAAAGCAGTCACTAGTTTTAGTAGTTGTAACAGTCCTTTAACTATAATAACAATACTACTACTATAATTATTATTAATTATTATTATAAGAAGATCTGAAATGGTTCAGATACAATGCTTTTATTTTGTTTTGTTTTTGTTTTGTTTAATTCAGATTACATTGGTTTCTGGCTGGTTTGTTTTTGTTGGTTAATGGTAATGCAAATGAGTAGTTATGTTAGAAAATGGTACAACATTTGAATAGCTGATCTTTACTTCACTGTTTGAAGTAAACTTATTGTCATGCTGTTTTCCACTTGTAACAATTCTTAAGCTGTAATAGTTGTATCTGAGATGGTTCAGTTTTTTCTTCTTTTTATATTTTATTTCATTTTACATTGGTTTCTGATTTAGATTTTTTTTGTTGAAATTTTTAAACAATTTGAATAGCTGATCTGCCTGAAATTTACCACTTTATTACAGAGTTTAAAATGTTTACATGTAAAAGTTAAATTGCACTAAACTATGAGAAGTAATATAATATAAGTGTAGGTGAATGAGTGATTTTTGTTTTGTTGGCTCACCACAAAGTTTTGTTGAGTTTGGCTCGTGTTCTGCTTCTTGCTTTTCACCTTGTGGTAGCAGTTATCTGTGTTATAATATACCTATAGGGTCACCAAACAACAAATAAATATGTTTATTCACCAACATTGTGTGCTTACTGTAAACTCCTGAAGTCTGCTGTCAGGGTTCAGGGAAGGCATGTATTACGCAGCAATTACGCACTTTAATAGGTTGTCTTCATATAACTAGAACTTCTGCAAGGACAAAGGGCAATAATATAATATAATCCAGTCTAAAAGTCAATGTACCATCATTACTTTGTACTTTCACATTGGACAAAGGATCATGGCACCGAAGAGGAGAGCTTCTTCCTCCACTGCTGCTGAAGCTGGGGGTAAAAGGGTCAAACGAGAGCCAGAGACCCCTCTAAAACCTGAAGATGGAGAGGTAAGAATGAGGTGTATGTTAAGAATTCCAATTGAATACAATGTTTGAATCTACTCACCAATCTATGGGTCCAGAATGATGAAAATGTTAAAAATAAGTCCTCAGAATTTTGTACATAACAGGAAGCTGAAATTCATGTGGACAATATTCTTTTTTTCATGTAACTTAGTATCTTTTTCTATACAAAGTTTGTTTTATTGTATTTTATGGCTGTTGTTTTTTTGTTTTTTGTTTTTTTTTTACATGCATAGTGTATATTTGCTATTATTCATTCAGTGTTTTATGCTGCACCTTATCACCAAAGCAAATTCCTATATTGTGTATTATTTTAAACATGGAAAACAGATTTTGTCATACTGTATAGTCCAGCCCTAGTTCAGTGTTTATATTGTATATATAACATGTATGTGTAATAATAAATGTGTGATATATTTAGTGCAGTTCTACTACTGAGTAATAATAATATTGTTTTTCATTGATTTGCAGGTTTATGAAGACTACGACTGCTTACTTAACCTGACAAACATCGCCAAAAATAATAACAAGTTCTATGTCATTCAAGTGAGAAAAGAGGGACCCGACTGCTTTCACACTTGGACCAGTTGGGGCAGAGTGGTGAGTGGAATTGTAAACAGATCACAACTATTTATGATACAATGTCATTATAATAGGTTTAACTCATGGATTGATTTTTCATTCAGGGATACAAAGGACAGAACATCTCTAGCAATTTTACAACAGTGGGAGAGGCCATCGAAAAGTTTGAGAAGAAGTTTAAAGATAAAATCGGAACCAACTGGAGTGATCGGGACAATTTTGTGTCTCATCCTGGGAAGTACACCCTGATCGACGTGGACGGGGAGGTCAAGGTAACTGTTCAAATGACGACACCCTAGCTCTAGTTTTATTCATGTATGTCTACATAAAATTATTACTACAGAGAATGACGAAGTAGGATAATAATTTTAATATCAAAATTTTTAAATCTTTAAACAGACAAACAAACAAAAAATTAAATTTTTTGTGTGTATTTGAAGTCTATTATCAATATTCATGTACTTAATATCAGCAATTTATATTAGTTTTTTAGATAACAGTATTAAAAATTTCTTTTACACTTTATGTGTGAAATAAATTTGGCTGTCGTCCTTAGTTATTTAGTTAGACACTATTGTGATGTGTAACTTTACACCACTACTAAGATTCTGGATTACGAAACATTCTAAAATTCTTCCCAGGTGGAGAGTATGGACGGGTCGCTCTGTACTTCGGACAAACCAACACAGGAGCTGATGGAGCTCATCTTCAGTAACGACATGTTCAAAAAGGCCATGGAGGAAATGAACCTGGGTGAGGCTCTCTCTCAAAGTTCAAAGGACCAGTTCAATGCCATTCTTACATGCTGGGTTGGGCTTGTCGTGGGACTGGAATGAGCAAAATCAAGTTCCAGGTGAAGTCACATTAAGGTTATGTACATAGGCAAATTTTGAGCCTTCATATTTATACATTTTATTTTGTTTTATTAAATGCATGTCAGAGAGAATCAGTTTTATGACTCAGTAGTTTGAAGAATAATCTTCAAACCCACCCCCACACTGCCAGTTTAGCCTCTTGGCCTATGTCAGAGGTATAATAATCCCTACAACGGAAGCATAGGCTGGAATGGACTAGACTTAAAGTGATATGATATCACTATCTGGAGGTGAATAGTCATCTGCTCAATGGAAATAGAAAGTTAAAACCATACTTAGGAACATTCTAATTGAGGTAGATATACGTATATAGATATATAGATGCAGATACAAAGTTGAGAAGAAAAGTACAAAAATACAGCAAGTTGAGATGAGTTCTGAAATGGAATACCCCTACATACGGCATCAACAGATTAAACATTATTCAACAAATATAAAGGCATTGTAATTTACTTTTATGAGACTACACAGCAAAAATTCAAATCTAGCCAAGTTAAGTTTAGTAACTGTATTATGTGAATTAAGAATGATTTTATTTATTTATTTATTTATATATTTTTTTGAGTAAATTCACTTTATGAGTAAAATTATCTGCCAATGGACCAAAACTTTTTGTACTTAAAATATAAAAATACATCTGGCTACACTTAAAATAAGAAAAACAACAACTCTTTGCACTTAAAAAAGAAACAAAATTTAATGTTGCTTGAATTAAGAAAGACATCATTTTATTGCCAAGTTGAATCTACTTAAATAAAGTAAAATGCTCTTCATCAGATCACAGTGTCGAAAAATATATTTTGGATATCTTTACAAATCAGGAGAGGGCAATGTCATAGGAACAAAAGGAAGCCACCTCTTTTAATGGAAATGAACAACAGACGCACCAGAATGGCATCAGTGAGATATAACCTCTAAAACAGGACTGGGCTTGCATGTGAAGATCATTTCAAGTTTCTCCCTTTTGGTCTTATTTGGCTGGTTTGACTAGTGCTGACTTTTGGAAGAGTGATTATCACTGCTGAGAGTATGAGGCCATTCCTTAACTCTACAGGAGTTGCACAGATTGTCCAGTTTCTCCAGGATGGCACATCCAGGCATGCTATTGCAAGGAGATTTCATGTGTTTCCCAGCACAGTCTCCAGAACATGGAGGAGATTTCAGGAGACAGGCAGTTACTCTAGGAGAGCTGCATAGGGCCATAGAAAATCCTCAACTCATCAGCAGGACCTATATCTGCTTCTTAGGGCATCACGTCCTGTAGTAGACTTTGTGTTCCCCGCCCAGCACTGTGTAGCTCAACTGGCATTTGCTAGATGACACCAGAATTAACAAGTCCACCACTGGTGCCCTGTGCTTTTCACAGATGAGAGCAGGTTCACACAGAGCACCTGTGACAGATATGAAAGAGTCTGGAGAAGTGAGGAGAACACTCTGCTGCCAGCACCATGGTTCAGCATGAGCGGTTTGGTGGTGGGTCAGTGATGGTCTGGGGAGGCATAACCATGGAGGGATGAGCAGACATCGACCAGCTAGAAAACAGCAGTCTGACTGCCATTAGGTGTCGGGCTGAAATCCTTGAACCCACTGTCAAACACTGATACAAACACTGTACACTGGTCGATATGTCCTGGGTTCCTCCTGATACGCGACAATGCCCGGCCTTATTTTAGTGTATGCAGGAAGTACCTGGAGATGAAGGGATTGATACAATTGAATGGCCCTCATGATCACCTGATTTAAACCTGGGTCCATGTCTGGGTCCATCAGATGCTGCCAGACTCTACAGGAGCTCAGTGATGCCCTTACACAGATTAGGAGCATGTCATGATGTTGTTAAACATGCACACAAGCACATGGTGACTACACAAGATATTAAGAAGCATTTTGAGTTGCAGGAATAACATTTTGGCAAAATGGACTAGCCTGACATATCATTATTTCACTAGATTTTCAGGATGTCTATAAAATTAAGCCCTGTGTAGGCTGAAAATGTTATTTCCATTAAAAGAGGTGGCTTCCTTTTGTTCCTAAGACATTCTGTCCATATTTGTATATATATCCAGCATTTTTTGTGCAGTGTATTTTCGATCTGTGTTCTGACAAACTGATGATAAAAGTTCTTCCTCCAAAGTCTTCAGTCTGCCCCAAATTACATTACATTTGCTGGCAGAGGATTGGCTGTAGCCCTCTTGATAAAAAAAACCCAACCATATAATTGATAATTAGACATGAATCTACATCCCTACATCTTTGAATCTATTGTCCAGCCCCACCCCTGGATAAACTGAGTGAGAAGCAGATCATGAAGGGTTCTAAAGTGTTGAAGGAGATTGAACATGCTCTGAACCAGACAAGTGAACCGTCCAATTTGGAGGAACTCTCGTCTGAATTCTACACCAACATCCCACACGACTTTGGAAACAGCCGACCCCCAACCATCGACTCCAAAGAAATCATCGAGAAGAAGAAGGAGATGCTTCTGGTAAGATGGTAGTCTTAGGCAAGGTAAGTTTAGGTAGGTTTATTTGTATAGCACAATTTGTACAAAGTAATTCAAAGTGCTTTATAGAATAAGAAAGACAATAAGATCACAAAATTAAAATCAAGAGAAGAGTGCAGAATAAAAACCTTTCAGTCATATATACAGCTAAACACATGCTGGGTCAGTCCAAAGGTTTCATGGTCAGCACTGAGCTCTTTAGTGTTTCTGTCACATACATTGTCCACATGTACATTCAGACCACCTGTAATGACCAAACCATCAAAGTCTGTGCATACAACTGAAAGCATGTCATTAAAATCACCTGTAACACTTACAGGATCTACACGTAGCTTTAATAACAAAGCAGGCCAGTCAGTGTGTGGGTCCAACAGCCATTAGACAGCTTTTATTTACAGGCTGAACAAAACACAGTTAAGGTTGATTGGAATGGGAGAGATGGAAATGCAGGGTTCTAATCTAGAGAATCTAAAAACATTTCTTTGGACCACCCTAAGATACAATGTACATGCAATAGTATAATTTGAACTCATAAACTGATAAAACAGCAACAGGCTCAGTGCTGTTAATCAAAATGACATAAACCACATTTATACAATAGGATAAAGATTTAAAGCATACCTTCACAATCTGGACTGTTATATTTACTAACAGTACAAATTACTCTTTTGACAGCAGGATTACGTGATCAGCTACCTTGTCACACATCAGTAAAACTTTGACAGTGCTGGGGAGGTTTATATGACTATGTAGAGTATGGAGGGTGATTGTTTTAGCTCCATTTTAAAGGAAACATACTCAAAAGATGAAAACAGTCCAAATGAAAACCTGTGAGTATAGAGAGAGTATGAAACTGCACATGCACCTCTAAACACTAAATGTCCTGTTACTTTTGCCCTGATATTGATCCAATCGCACAAGAAACAAGAAGACCCTTTGTCATAAATCATCATCCTGTAGATTATTGGAGACTGAAACATTAAATAGCCATTAAAAACAATTCTTTAAATCCAGCTATATTTTAGCTTGAGAGCTAAAGCTATGTGTTGGCTAGCTCCCACCTTAGTCGGTCAACTTAAGTCAGTTGGGGCCATGTGACAACATGGGACAAATGGTGATTGGCACATGTTATAAAATTTCATTATTGTATCTTAAAAAGTCACAGCATTCTTTTTCAAAAGCATGTTTTGACAAAAATGCCATTAAAACAACATGGAAAACCAATCAACGATGACAACTTCCCCAACATGGAGCAAGTTGTCACTTGATGTTGTTGTCTTTAACACTTTTTAGCTTCAAGCTTATATGTACTAGTACACATTTTGGCTTCTGCCCAGAAGCCTTTTTCAAAATGGGAACTAAAACGTCTTGATTACAAAAACAGTGTCCAGATGACCACAGTTGAAATCTACTCTACAATTCACCTTTAACACGTAAAGCCATTCCCTGCTTTTGGTAGTTATACTTAAGTGTGATTGTTTAAAACATCCTGTCTGTCAACCAGAGCAGTTCAAAGGTTGACCAGTGGAAAGAGTGAGTAGTGGAAAGGATTCTGTTTTTTGAGCAGAACAGAAGAACTGCATCACTCTGAGGGTACAGAAGTTTATCATGATTCAAATATGTACTGTAAAATGTAGAACAAAGATGCATAAAAAACAATAAATGTAACTTTAACATAAGTACTTATCTAATTTGAATATCTCCCAAGAAATCAGAATCATTTGTGTCATATCTCTCCAGCCCTGTAGTTGTTGTTTTTTTTATGTATTTCTTGTGACGTTAAAAGGTGCTTAAAGACATCAAGCTGGCAAAGAGGCTGAAGTTGGAGACAGCGAATGCCCAGGAGGTGTCTCAACCAGTGAACCAGCGCATTCTCACACTGCTTGACAAGACCTCAGAGAGATACAAGGTACAAATATAAGCCCCAGAACATTACACACTCTGTTCAAAGTGCAGTGTTCATGACACAGTGCAAAGAACATTCATCTCAGAATGAAAAGAGGCTCTGTGCCAGATTTAGCCACGAGCTCCTTTCCATCTGCAGTCCCTGGGCAGGTACAAAACTAATTTCCATAAATTTCAGATTCATCATTATTTTCTAAAAATACTCAAATTCATGGTCATAAATGACCTCTAAAATGTACACTTACCAAATTCATCAGTATTATTATCCTCTAAGATACAGTTCATTAACAACATGATCATCAACACAAATGTCATAGGTCAAACACAATACATTTACATCTACACAGTACATCTCTAGTACAATCAGTCAGATTATTAGTCAGCCATAGTTTGAGCCCATGAGATAACATCTAATAGTGCAAGTTTTAAGTTCAGCTGAAGCGTGTTCCAGTTTTTTGCTGCTGTGTATGAGAAAGCCAACTGAACAAAGTACATTTAAAGGGAATGATCAGATCAGAATTTACAGATGAGCAAGATGTTGTGATCTGCTCTGATCTTAGCTGAAAGAATCCTCTTAAAGGAGGGGGAGAAGTATTGTGGAGAATTCTACGGAGCAGCCGGATCTCAGAATAAAAAAATTATATAGTCAAAAATGTAAGACAGATCAGTCTCTCCCTCCCACTTATAGTGCAAATGTTAATATACAGTCAGTGTAAATACATGAACCATGTTGCTGTTTTGCTATTTTTTCTACTTACAGATAATTGAGAACTATTTGAAACAAACAAAAGGCTCAGATTCAAATCCCAAAATCATCAATGTTTGGGAGGTCAATCAACCTACAGAGGTACGTGTTAAATGAATCTTATATTTGCAGATCTTTTTTGTCATTCTGTTTTTTCAAATATCTTTCCGCTGTAGGGAGAGCGCTTCAGAGAGAACCACCACCTGGAGAACCGGCGTCTGCTTTGGCATGACACAAACATCGCTGTGGTCGCGGCCATTTTGAAGAATGGGCTCAGGATCAAGCCTCACTCTGGGCGACAAGGCATTTACTTTGCATCGGAATATGGAAAGTGCAAATGTGAGTAGATTTAAATATCTACTTAGTCTCTCTCTCTGCTATTTCTATAAATGGTACATTGATATGAGCATGTATATCTATGTTCATTACACATGTGTTTTTGCAGTGCACACCTTTAATAACAAAGGGATCATGTTCCTGTATGAGGTGGTTTTGGGTGAAGAACACACCATCACCACAGACAACAGCTCACTGATGAATCCTCCAGATGGTTTCAACTCTGTGGTGGCCCGAGGAAGAGTGGAGCCAGGTACTCTTCAAACTAGGGTTGCAAAAGGCATAAAATTCCTAGAAAATGTCCAATGGGAACTTTTTTGCTAATTGTTTTTGCAAAATGTAAATCATTAACCTTTTATTGAGCAATTTCTTAGTTTTTATATATAAATAAGATAATCCCCAACCAAACTATTCATACAATAAGAGCCTGCTTCAACCAATGAGCCCGTCTGGTGAAACTCTTGAAAACAATATTCCTGAAGCGATTTGGAGCTGGATTAAAATTTTTGCAGTGTGTCTGAAATAGGGCTGTACTCAGTAAAGGTTTTTAAATCTTGCTGGACATACACGGGTCTCGAACCTCACTCAATTTGCACTTAAACCCCACGAAAAAGTGGATCTTAAGTCACTCCACTTGCAGATTGCTTGGCTGTTGGTTCCTGTTTTCTCTGCTCTGTCATACATGTTTGCTAATTCAATTTTTCTCTTCTTTCTCTTCTTTCTCACACTTTTCCTTTCACTGATTGAGTGATTGTTTGTGTTGCAGACCCCTCTCAGGATGTGTTCATCACTCTGGATGGAAAGAAGGTGGCAGTACCCCAAGGCCCTGCCATCGAACAGTCTCAGTATCAGAACAGCAGCTTCCATAACAGTGAATATCGTATCTACAAAGAGAGCCAGTGCTGTATACGCTACCTGCTGCTGCTGAAGTGAATGACAATAACACTAATGAGGTGTTAATACTGGATAGAGAGATCATGGGTTCTGTTGCCGTCTTCTCACTTGAGAAATGGCATAATTCTTAAAAAAGAATGTAAAAACAGGGCCAGAAATGTATGTGTAATCAGAATGAATAAAATGTTGAATAAAATGTGCCTAGAAAAATGATTCAAAGCTCCCATGTTACCTTAAATCAGGGCTCTCCACTGAAATATCCCTGAGGGTCAAAATTCCCACTTTGCAAAAGCACAAAAATTTTGCCAGAAGACATTTTTTTTATTTGGTAAAATACAATGGTAAAATCAGCAATTGATCAACAATTATAGATCCCACAACAACTCACTAAAAACTTTATTTATCAAAAGCATACAATGTTCCTTTTTCAATTACTACTGCATTTGTTGGAAAATCTCAAGAAAAACATATCTCTTTAATGAGAGAAGTGAGTGATGTGAAGAAGCAATTTTTCTGAAAACTGGCTTGAAATGTGTAGAAATCTTAAAACACTGTCCAAGATGCACATCTGTCAGTCAAGATCTGCTCCCGTTCACACAGGCTTAGTCCAGTCGTGCTGAAATTGGAATCACTAATGCATGATCTCAGCCTGAATATAATACACTATAAAAATATAAAAAGTGAACAATATAGCGCCCCCTAGCATATACAGGAATTCAATTCTAAGAACGACTAGAAGCAAAATTATATATTACGGACCTGGAGCATTTTTCATGGTTGACAAGCAGGGGCGCAAAGACTAAAAAACATTTGCACTATGTAACTTTTCTGGCGGAGGATCTGTTGTCCTGGGCAACTATCGGAGTGGGACAATAGCGTGCTGAGGAAGTCACGTGGGAGGGGCGTGTTCGCCGGTGCGAGGGCTGTTTAACGCTGCTTGCGGCTTTAATTATTACTTATTTTTGTATTTTATTTTGACTTGTACCTACACATTTGTATAATTATGCCTTATTTGACATCAGTCTCTTGTTATTTTTTACTGCTTATTTAGAATGTATTATTACCATTTCTATTGTTCGTCTTTGTTATTATAATATATTATGTGTGAGTTGATTTGTTGATGAACAGGGGACGTCTTGAGTCGACCGTGCATGGACTTCTTGAACGTGACCTTCATAAAGTTGGTAGTATTTAGGACCCTGAGGAGATGAGTGTGGCTCAGACGACAGTGAAGCGTGTGTCCCACAGAATACAATGTGTGACAGTCAGTGCCATACACTGAAGAGACGGGACATGAAGCCAACGCAACATATGCTATTTCTCTTTGTCTGTGTAAAACTATATGCTGTAAAAGAGAAGCTGAGTGGGACTTTAAAATGGGAACATGTAAACAGTTCAAAGTGGACTACAGCCCTGGAGTGTTGAGGTAAGTCTGATTATAGTTTTTATGTTGTGTTAATGTATATTGTGGAGTTCAGGGGTGTCAAACTCAAATTCACAGAGGCCAAAATTAAAAACTGGGACTAAGTTGTGAGCCAAACAAAAGATTTATTGAAACATTTCAACAACATCTGCATGTTTTCTCTTCTTTCAAGATATTTAATATTAAACTTTTCTTATTAAAATAAATGTTTAATAATAGTTTTGCTTAAACACTGAATCCAGAACAAGCATAATATAAAATAATAACAACATTTTAAGTAAATAATGTCTCTATAGTCTATCTGTAGCAGACAGGCCAGCTCTAATACATATTTGACATGATCTTGCAGGCCAAATATATTTATATTGCAGGCCAAATTTGGCCCACGGGCCTGAGTTTGACGTGTCTGGTGTAGTACTTTCCTATGATTATTACTTATTTATATTTTTCCAAATATTATTGAAATTCAAAAGACAAAATGTATTGAAGGCAAATAATCGACTGTCTCACAGATATATGTAACATAAAATGTCAGGTGAAAAGTAATTACATGTTATTGTGTCTTAATAAAATTGTAGAACCATGTAAATGTTAAAGTCATTTAAAGGTGCACTGTGTAACTTTTTCACCTGTTTGCCACTAAGGACATGTCTTTGCTCTTTCTGGAATGTTCCACGGTATGGCATTAAACTTAACTTTGCATTTATTCAATTACAGGTCTATTTATTTTATCGCATTGTACTTTGACCCAGTGGTGTCTCCTGTCTGTCTCTATGGAGTTTAATGCCATACTGTGGAGCATTCCAGATGGTGGTCCCTCCACCAGAAAAGTTACAGTGCAGCATTAGTATAGGGTTTTTGCATTTAATGCAATAAAATCATACAATATTGTTTTACGTCAGATTCCAAATATATATAATATTCGTCATATTCCAAAAATATATATAATATTTGTTTTGTTTCATTCACACATGTTTGAGTGATCCTGCATTTTTGTCTAAATCTCCAAAGCGCAAAATACCGTGTAAAAATGAATTGACAGTGAGGCATTTCCTGTATTACCACATGACATGACAAGGTTTAACAGTGTTTTCTGTTTGAGAGAAGAACACAGCCTAAATAAGCAGGATTTGTGTGTTAAACATGTGTGAAAGAAACAAAACAAAACTCCAGGTGTGTCTGTGACGAGGAAACAACATTCTAACATAGAACCTAGTGTAATATGGACTCTTTCTTATCAAGGTTAGTTGTTTTTGGATGATTTGATTTGTTCACATTTGGGTTTCACTGGTGGTTCTCAGTGTCATTATGAGCAATTTCATTTCATCCTTTTTTCATGTTGTGAAGGGTCCGCCACCTGCTTGTCTCCATGGAGATGTCATTGCTTTACCTGTAAAGTTTCAGGTCTGATATAGTTTAGAGTGGAACATGCCCCACAAAGCAATAACATAAAAATAAATAAATAAATAAAAAAGAAAGAAAGAAATTGACCGCAGAGCATTCAACTTCAAAGCCCCAAATGAATGGAACAACTCATTCCCCTCCATCCAATCAGTTACATCGATTCACCATTTTAAGGCGTCAGTCTTCAGATACTTACAAACATCCTGCTCCTGTTTTCAATTAAAAATACTTATACTTAAAATTAAGTACTTTCTGATGTACATAAAGTTGCTTTTTCCCTCAATAATTTCCAAATATAGGTGTGGGGATGATAAACTCAGAGAGTTGTATGTTTATCTCAGGATCTTGTGTTGTCTGTGTTGTGTTTCTGTTTTGTTTAGATTTTTTTTTCTTTCTTTTCTGTAAATGCTATTTTTGTTTATGTACTTAGGACCCCCTCACAAACAAGATGTTACATCTCAAGCGGCTTCCCTTACAAATAAATAAATAAATAAATCTCCATAGAGACGTGCGGGTGGTGGACCCTCTGGGACAGGGGTGGGCATTTATTTTTTCCATGGGACTATATGAAAAACAGTAAATATTGTGGAGGGCCAAGTCAAAACTCAATCAACTCAGTTCAACATAATATTAATTGTATTTCTTTATAAAAAGCAGTAAATATATATATTTTATTTATTTTTATGTATTTATTTTTTTGACGAGCTGGTCAGACTGGTAAGAGTTTACGTTATGACTAAGCAATGAAAAAGTGAGGCTGCCTTATACAAAAATGTCATTTAAAAAAACACCTCTAAAATAAAAGTAATGCAGTTTTAGTCCATGCATGGGTAGAGGTAAAATGATAAAATATGTTTATTTTTTAATTACAAATTAGCTTAAACTGGCCGGTCAGAGTCAACCAAAGAGCCGTACGTGGCTCAGGAGCTGTACAATGCCCAGGTCTGCTCTTGGAGAAAAGTTGCATAGTGCATCTTTAAAAGTTGACCTTGTGCTGTTTTTTTAATCTGATTTCTACATACTTTTCTAGATTCATCAACAGTCTGCAATGAAGACCTTAACAACCAGACTTGTGTGAACAATGGCAGAGTCCTTCTATCCGGTCATCGCTCCTGCTCCAAACCTCTCTTCCTCCGCTCTCCCGACTGTCCCCTCCGATCTGGGCGTGGTCACGGGCTCCCAGTCCGAAATCAAGGACCTGTTTGGCCTCTTCTGCATGGTGACCCTTGACCTCATTGCGCTGTTGGCTAACACGGGCGTCATGGTGGCTATCGCGCGCGCCCCTCATCTCAAACGCTTCGCTTTCGTCTGCCATCTTTGTGCTGTCGACGTCCTGTGCGCCATTCTTCTGATGCCGCTGGGAATCATCTCAAGTTCGCCGTTTTTCGGGACAGTTGTTTTCACCATTTTGGAGTGCCAAGTTTATATATTTTTAAACGTCTTTCTTATTTGTTTGTCTATTCTTACTGTTACCGCTATTAGCATCGAGCGCTACTTTTACATCGTCCACCCCATGCGTTACGAAGTGAACATGACCGTGAACCTCGTTATTGTCGTCATGTTGCTCATTTGGATCAAATCTCTTCTACTAGCGATGGTAACGCTTTTTGGCTGGCCCGCGTACGGAAGCCATAGCTCAATTTCCGCGGCGCATTGCTCTCTCCACGCTAGCCACAGTAGCCTAAGAAAAGTATTCGCTGTACTTTTTAGCGTGGCCTGCTTCATGGTGCCTTCGTTTGTGATTTTTGCCGTTTATTGCGCGGTGTACAAGGTTGCGAGATCGGCGGCCTTACAGCAAGCACCCGTAGTAGCGTCGTGCCCGGCTAAAGATCGCTCAGATTCGATAAATAGTCAAACAACAATGATCGCAACGAATAGAACTATCCCGCAACGGTTGTCTCCTGAAAGAGCGTTCAGCGGCGGAAAAGCAGCGTTAACTTTGGTCTTCATCGTGGGTCAGTTTTTGATCTGCTGGTTGCCATATTTCATCTTCCACCTCCAGATGGCGCTAAGCGGGTCCATGCAAAGTCCAGGAGATCTAGAGGAGGTGGTGAACTGGCTCGCCTTCTCGTCCTTCGCGGTCAACCCGTTTTTCTACGGGCTTTTGAACCGCCAGATCAGAGACGAGTTGGTGAAGTTCAGAAGATGCTGCTGGACCCAAACGGCGGAGATGGGGACGTCCAGTCATGAAGGGTCGCTTCAGGAGAACTTTCTGCAGTTCATTCAAAGGACCACAGGGGGCAGTAGCAGTGGCAGTAGTATTAGTAGCTCAGGCAGAAGGAGCAGTCTCAGAAGCAGTGGGGAGCGAGAGCAGAAGATCCCAGGACAGGTACTAGAGGAGGCTTCATAGACAAATACACTGGACTTTATAATTTCTGTTAAATGGACTCAAACACTTTCAATGTGTTCTGGAAATTTCCAAGACAAAAAAGACTGATATAACCCTGAAGCTGAATGATTGTAAACCAACCTGAACATTACGATTTAAACTGTACACTACTTTTTTCTGGTCAAAGCCATGGGAACGTGCTTATGTTCCCACAGCCCTATCTTCCTTCATTTTTAAGTTTTTTTGTTTTTTCTCTCCAAAATTAGGCCCAATATTCCCATTTCCTTCATCAATTTGCATCAAATTTCATCCCCATTTCTCCCAATCTGATCGTCAGTTACACCCAACCTATTCTCCAGCAGCAGTTGATTACAGATGTAATGTAGAGATCATAGTGCAAATGCAGTGTAAAAATAAAAATGACTTGAAATCTTATCTTATCTTAAACCTTATCTTAAAAATAAGGGAACATAGGGATGAGGGAACATTCCACAGTATGATATTAAAGCCACAGTATGTCACTTTTAGACAAAAATAGACTACAATAAAAATGTGTTTGTTGTACTAAAAAATGTCAATGGGCTTGCATCTCCACAAACTTGACTCTCATTTGGCCTGGAGAAGAGCCTTGTCCTGCTTGTTTCCATGGGAATATTGTTATTTTCCACAGTGTGACATAAAACCATAGACTGTAGCCATAGATAAGCGCCACATTCTAAATAGGAAGTGATCATGGAGGCACTTCCAGCTCTTTTGAGCCTGCTTCTGTTTGGATTTTACATAAAAAATGTGCTGGAGCTCTCTCTGGAACTGCTGCTGCTGTGAGCGTCGTTATTTTGGTCATAAAAAGTTTGCATTAACCTGCTCTCCTGATCTTGGTATTTTTAATTTTGCCACTTTGTGCGTTAATAAATTCCAAATCATGATACTGAGATTGGCTCCAAATCTGCTGGAACTGCCAGCATCATGAGCTTCATTTGACTGGAGCTGAACGCTGTGAGAGATAACACACTCCCTTAGTCCACTTCTCAACATGTGTGTAGAATCACTCAGTTGTCCAGATAGAATCCATGGCAAAGGCGAAATTCAATTTGTCATTTTGTCCAGTTCATTGTACTTCTCTTTTGCCTTAGTCCACTTCTTCCTACAGTCGATGCATAAAACGTGTCTGTCTCCATGGAGAAGGTTCTGAAGTATGTTTTTTATTTCCATGGAATCATTCAGGTGACGTGCCCCCTCCAGAAAGTTGACAATATACTGTACGACACTATTTTATACTATTTTATGATTCATATTAGAATTTGAAGAGGTCAATTTTCCAGGGATTAGAATGAATATTAATGTCGTTTAGATGAATGAATGTATTAATGTTAACTAGCCAATAATACAGAACATCTTCTAAATGTGTGTCTTTTATTTTAAAAATGGATTTTATGTTTTATAAAATATTGTAGTTGTTTTACGATGACCATTGACTCTACCTCAAACCAAAGCGTCCTGGAGCAGCTGCAGTTGTGAGTGTGCGTGAGTGTTTGTGCCACATGCGTCTGTGTCCATGAGTTTACAGCAGAAATCATTAGTGCTCATTGATAGCGAGCTAAAAGAGAAGGCAGAGTGCTGGTTTATGGCCCTCTCTGTTTGTATTAGTCCTTTTCAAACAGACGAAAGTATATAATAGCACATTTACATTGAGTCCTTTCAGCTTTTACAGCTCCTTCCATAACTCTGTATCTAGTTCAACATGACCTGAACCATGACTTGGTACCTGGTGATCAGCTGGAGCGTTAGATATTCTGTTATTATTACTATGTTTTCTTTCTAATTCATCTTAACAGGTTTGTGGGTTTTCATTAGACCAGTGTTTCTCAAACTTTTCAGTACCACCTATGAAAATATTTGGCTTTCTGAGTACCACCACAACAAAAGCAGGTTTATATCAGGCCAAAATTAAGACTAAAACTGATGTAAAATCAGACAAAACTAGTCCTTGCTAAACAAACTACAAAAAATAATAATGCATTTGTTTCTAAATTAAACATAGAACTGCAAATGACTCCAAGCATCAGTGGTACACATACCTCAGTTTGAGAAACACTGTACTAGACTATAAGCAGTGTTGGGAAAAATGATCTGAAAATGTATTAAGTTACAGAATAGTGATACTACACACATTACAATATATACCGTAACATGTTCCACACATGAACATCAGAGTATTGTATTCTGAATATTTAGTACTTTCACAATACATTACATTATATTATATGTAAAAAAACATATAATATAATGTTGAAACAGGATTGAAACAGCTTTGTTGTTGCACTCATTTATCACTAATTACAGATGGAAAAAATGCTGTGCTTTCTGTTTTTCTTGCTAACACCAAACAGATTGAGGCCCGAATTGCATGAAATACTGCAGTACTTTAATTTTAGGGAATTAACTGTATTCTGAATATTGCTAAATTTAAGGTCCTGTACTATGCAGAATTGACTCTTGTGAGCTTTAACAGTATTATCATGTTGTTACCTCATCAAAACATACCTGGAGTTGTGTTTTGTTTCATTCATACATATTTGAGTATTCTGTACTAGATCTCCAAAGCTCAAAATGATCTGTTCCAGCTTGTGATGTCATGAAGTGGTAGTTTTGACGTTAACAGCTGCCTTCTACATTTAGTTCAGTAGAGATTGTCAATTTAGGCCTGAAATTACCAAAATGATTCTAGTGAAGGTGTATAGAGTTTAAAAACACAGTGGAGCACAGAAGTATTACCACATGACATCACAACGTGGAACAGTGTTTTCTGTTTGAGAGAACTCAGCCTAAATATGCAGAGTTCATGAGTTAAACATGTGTGAATAAAACAAAACTCAACTGCAGGGATGTTTTTGATGAGGAAACAACAAAGGTGTAATATACAGTAGGTTCTTTAGAGTAACTGTACCAGTATACAGTTACTGGTACTCACTATTCTGAATATGTATTTTCAGTACATGTACTTAGTTGCTTCCCAACACTGACTATAACTATGAATGTATTTCCGTGTAACTTATTGGTTTGTTCTATTAAATCGATATCTGACTCATGAAGTGATATTTCCTGCATTTGTCACTGTGAAGCAAAGTGCAGCTTCCACAAACATGTTTTTCCTCAGCTTTTATTTACAAACTTTTGATTTAACAGTGCAGCCAAAACAAAAACTATAGACTTGAACTGAACCATGACAGAAGAGAGGGACATCAGGACAGTGACATGAGCCTCATGCAGCCAATACTCGATTGTCCAGCAATACTTCCAAACTTTAACTCTTTGATACACAAACTTATCATTATTATTATTAGTGACAACATCCTCTTACAGCACTGGAGGAGTTACTGCCGTGGTCACACATTCATGAATAGACCAGTGAAAACATGTGGACTAATAACATTAAAGTTCAAATAAGTGTAATGCCTTGGCAGAGGTCTACACTCTGAGTACCTGTTCTTTCAAAGGCACTTGGTTCAATGGGAGGATGTTACTTCTGCAATAACTCAATGCCGACTGCACTTCAGCAGCATGTCTACATGATAAAAATGTACAGTGTTTCACACTGTTTTTTATCCCAATGCTAAAATGCAAACTACTATTCTCAGTAAACAGCAGCTGTGGTGCTTCAAACTACATGAGTAGTTGCGAGTGTTACTGTAAATGCTCACATTGTGAGACACTATTCACTAAGAGTTTCTTCTTTCAGACATATTTGGTTGAATTGTTGGTGCCATGGTTACGGCTGTACTGTGTTTTTTTAGTTCAAGTTCACTCAGGATGTCACCTGCTACAGAGGCCTGGCCAATCACACACACATTCCTGATGTCATCTTTTAGGGAATAATGAAAAAAAAAAAAAAAACATGAAAATGAACCACTGTCTAAATGGAGAAATATATCATAACCTGGATAAAACACCAACTGCATCCACAAGGGGTCAGTAAAGGAACCACGGGAGAGTTTTTTTTTTTTCTTTTTTTTCCTGCTTTCTTTAATAGAAGCCTCCCTTGGCCCTACCTTAGTCCTTATGGTCTTATGATATTGATACGACCCCATTTTAAGTTGAATAAATTAACAATGCAACTGTTGACTGGCCAGGCCCCTGTTAAGTACAGTACATTTAGCAACAGGAGAGATCAACACAAACTCCTCATTAAAAAGCATTATTTTTCTAACGCATTCAAATTTACAAAACAAACAGCAAGTCCATAAGCCTATCATTCAGTATAACTTTATCCATAAAATCTTTTTACAAACAGCTCTATTTCTCTGTGGTTCCTCAGTGCTAACTACACACACATATCTCTTTTATTTATTCATTTATTTTATATAAAAACTATTGTTGTCCATCAGTGATCAGTCTTGTAGTTAAGGCAAAAATGGCTTGAAATCTTCCCAACGTGTCCTCAGTTCCTCTGGTGTAAAAATGCCATGCTTGTTTTGTTGATTTTGTCCATTTTCTTGTCTCTTGGAGTGCCAGACCAAACTTTAGCCGATCTTAACACTCAATTAATTACCGTTAATCTTGACATTGGGTGAACTTCAAAATCCAAGACCAGCCAGGATGGTAAACATTCCCAGTCCATGAAATCAGCCATCGAGAAGTGACCCTGCGTGCACACAATCTTACAGTCTATGTGCACCGCTTAGGCCAACGCAAAAGTCACACAAGTAGATTTTAAATAGTTTTTTTTTTCTTCTTTTTTCTGTTTTTACAAAGTCGATCCATCGCTCCAGTGTGTAGCCCACTCCTTTTTGTGTACGCCTCCAGATTTGTGTGTTTGAAACTGTGGTCTGTCCTCGCGAGGGATCTTCACCGCGTGGTACTGGGGCAGCTTGTCTTTGTAAGGAGCACGACGGAAAAAGCCACACTAAACAGAGAAAGAGAAAAGGTTTTAGTTACATTTTAATATACATGCATCACGAATTTCGGACTTCCGGTCATTGTGCAATGCATATTGGGAAGGATTTTCCGAAAAAGTGAGCATCAAACCGCCATGTTTGTTTTCCCAGTGGGATGCGTCTATCGTCAAAGCCATTTTTGTCAAGTCTTTTGAACCATATCATTTTTGTTTCTGGTTCTGATATTGTCATATTTTAGTTTTGGGATTCAGACATTGTAATTGTGTGGTTGTTGGATGTCCTAACAGCAGAAAATGGCTTGAGAAATTTGTTTGCGAACTTCATAACTGCAAAAGGGAATCAGATCTGTGTGACTGCAAACCTCTGTTCAAACTGTTTCCCTTCAGAATTGAAAAATAGTGAAAGGTGAAGGCGATGGGCAGGATTGATCCACAGGAAGGACCAAAAAGGAAACCATTGACTGCCTAAGAAATCATCCCAAGTTTGCAGCGAACATTTTGTATGTGGAGCAAAATCCCAATTGTTAAGCGAGAGGTACAGAAGAAAAACAGGCTGAGCTCGCACTTTCTTGCTCTTGTGGTTTTACAGCAACATCACGTCTTGGTCGCTTTGCAAGGTGTTTCTTGGTGAACAGCTGGTGCCTTTTGCTTTGGCGTGGACTTTTTAAATTCGTAACCAAGGTGGAGCGAGGAATCGGGATTTTGCTTTGATGTCGCTCCATATACAAAATGTTCGCTGCAAACAGGATGATTTCTTGGGCAGCCAAAGGTTTCCTTTTTGGTCCTTCCTGTGTATCAGTACTGCCCATTGCCTTCACCTTTAACTGTTTTTCAATTCTGTTGAGAAGGGAAACAGTTTGAACAAAGGTTTGCAGTCATGGAGATCTGACTCCCGTTTGCAGTTATGAAATTCGCAAACAAATTTCTCGAGCCGTTTTCCGCTGTTAGGACATCCAACAAACACACAATTACAATGTCCGAATCCCAAAACTAAAATATGACAATATCAGAACCAGAAACAAAAAAGATATGGTTCAAAAGACTAGAAAAGATCAACTTTGTCAATAGACACATGCCACTAAGAAATCAAACATGGCGGTTTGATGCTCATTTTTTCGGAAAATCTTTCCCAGTATGCATTGCGCAATGACCTAAAATCTGAAATTCGTGATGCATGTATACAGTAATGATCTCTGCATTGTCTGAACTCATGCCCCAACTAACTTTTTGTCCTTTTCATAACCTCTCCTCTTTCTCTAGGCCTCATGTCTGGCTTATGTTCATAGTGTTTACATTATCTTTACATTATAATTCATGTAGCAAAATAGAATGTCTAAGTTAGAGATGGGGTCTTGGGCTCTATATTTGTTAACCTTAAATCTAGAACAACTTGTGTAAGAAGAGCACAAGCAATAACTGTCACAACAACACACGATTCAAATACAGCAGGCCAGAAATAACAGCTGCAAAGAACCACAGCACGCGACACTGCAAGCATCTGGAGAAAAAATGGCAAATAGCGTTGGAAATCAGAAAACACGAAGAAGACAGTTTGCAACAGCCTCTTCAGTGTGGGATTAGGGACACACAAAATAGGTTGCGGTCACGTACTACAAGACAATGATGTCGTAATTTCAGATGGAGGGCAGGAGTCTAGAAAACTCTACGATCCACTTTATTGTGTAAAATTGGGTCTGTCAAATGCTTTTCTCCATGGAGATGTCTTTGTCTGGAATGTTTCACAATACAGTATTAAAACTTTCTATCTCTGTGGAGACCAAACCAGACCAAGTTACAGATCAGATCTGTGGAGAGACAACCCCGCTCACTTTCAGAATGCGTGGTTTTCTAGGTATTAAAAAAAATGCCTATAATTCAATAAATGTAAGGTAGAGCTGTTTAATGTCACACTGTGGAACATTCCAGAAAGAGCAATGACGTATCCACAGAAATGCTACAGACCCCCAACCAAAAAGTTACACAATGCACCTTTAAAGTTAACTGGCAACTATAATTTTTTTTGGAGTTGAATAATGGCACCACTTTCAGAAGACATTGTGAAAAAATCATTTTACTTTCGTTTCTTTATCCGGACAGTGAAGATGAACTTTGTGTCAGTTTTTGTTGCTTGTGGATAGGCCCATTAACTACAGAGATATGAACCATAAACCAGGTCAACAAATCTGCAGTTAAACAGCAAATTCCACCACAGAATTCTGACCTGTCCTCCAGCAAAAATTGTTCACTATTCATGGATTTCAACCTCCTGTTATAAGCAACATTTTGGACTTTTCCCCATTCAAAACTTAATATTTAGTAACATTTTTAAACTCTATGGCAACTGGACCTTTCCATCATTCTGAAACCCACGGATAGCCGCTCTTAAAAGTTGTGATGTGACATGAACGCAACCTAGAGTTTTTAGTGGTTTTGTTTACCGTTTGGAGGGAGAGGAGGGGAGAGCAGGCCGCAGAAGTGAATAATATTTGTGTGATTTTTAGATTTCTGAGGCCTGCTTCTCCGCCTCCGAAGGCTGAACCCCCAAATGAGCTTGGTAATACTCGGTCTCGTAGTGTGGACGCCGCTCACTGCGCTTGAAGAAACCACACTGATGAAGAGCGAAGGAAAGGACACAGGAGGTAGGATAAAGAAAGAGGATAGGTAAATAAAGACATGACAGAAAAGATAGAATAAGAGACAAAGACATAAAAATGAAATGATACAGGGAAAGAAGATTATTTTAGAACAGAATGCAGATAATGTAATGATAGAATGGTGGTAAAAAGAAAACTGAATGTGATCAACTGAACCCAGAAAATACTGGTGTTTCTCAGGTTCAAGAATGCGATGATGTTGTACTCCCAGATGGGGGCGTAAGAGAATTACCATAACATTTCCATTTGAATTACATGGTATTCTGAGAAGGAATATCCAAAAGGTAAATTCACAAATATCAAACCTGCTGATTTTTACTTACTACTAAACCCTAGAATGTGCCATATTACAACATTAATTATCCGCAAATGTGATTCGCTTATACAGTAGATGTATTCTGAAACGTAGCTAGAGTAATCATATAATATTCAGAAACGAGTATACTAGTGTAATTCCTCAGTCACTGAGGAGTTTCCCTCTCATTCAAGAGGCAAGAAAACTCAGAACATTTATCTTATCTTATTGAAATAGCCATCTTACATTTTCTCAGATTCTACTGACAACAGTCCTAAAACAAACGTAGTTGTGTAGATTGGATTGAATCGCTCTCTACTAGAGATGTAACAATAACCGAAATATTGTGATATTGTATCGTCAAAAGTCTCACAATAATACCTTGGGCTGTCGCAATATATCAAATTACAAAATCCTTTGCTTAAATGGATTGTTTTATAGTAGTAATAGCTAATAAACATCAGGAACTACATAGTTCATGATTCTTTACAGCGCAGCCAACATGAAGAAATATGTTTTTACTTGATGACAGTAACAATTCACACTAAAATATTGTCAGTGGATTTTAAAAGCAAAAAAGTGCCCTATCTACAATTATATCAGCCTCTCCAAAATATTGCAATAAATATCGTACTGTGAGATGCATATCGTGATAATATTGTACCGACAGATTTGGATATCGTCACAACCCTACTCTCTACAGAAATGACTGACCTTATCTGTATATCCTTAAATATAAATATAAGAGAGTACTTGTGATGATTAAAAGTAGTACATTTCCCTCGTACCTTCCAGAGTATACAGACGAGCAGTGTGAGCAGTAGGATCCCGGCCAGTATTGCGATGAGGATGATCCACCAGGGGATCCAGTACTGGTCTGAGAGGCCGGGCTCAGGGTAGATCATCACCGGGACCTGAACAACAGTTACACAACATGTTACTGATGAGTGGCTTATGTAACTTAGGGTTGATAAACACGACTACCACGCTACACCACTTGGATATTTAAACGAGTTAAGTAGTGTAGTTTGTTGTTGTATTTGTTTTCAGAGCATTTATGAAAAACATTGAAAGTGAAAGGACTGGTACCTGTGCCGCTGCATCCCTGAGGACCAAGTGTTTGATGGTGGATTTGACTGTGATGTTTGCTCGGACCATCACCTCCAGAGCACTGACCGATGGGAACTCCTGAAGGAAACAAAACACAAATAAAAGATCAGGAATGAGAACAATAGAGGGACAGTCGATGATAGATGTTAAAAACATGTCGTGTCTAAACTGAGATGGTCTGGGCATCTACAAAGGAGGGTGAGTGAATATATGGGGAGAATACGACAATTAATTGGAATTATATTGACTTATGGACTACTAAAATGACTGTAATCGTATTTGATTATTGTAATCGTTATGCGAACTACACAGACTCTAAAACATGTGGCAAAAGACCTTTTATAAGAATGAGACCACCATTATTAAATCAAAATGTCAAACTATAATCAATAGTTTGTGAGTGTGTTTAACCAAGAATACGCTTTTTCATGAAGACTCTCTATCTTGAAGCCTCCAATTACCATTATCTGTTATTTTGTAATAAATGTTTGAAGAGTCTCAGTGTACAGTAAAAACAATCATGTGACAAGTTGACAAAAATATTACTAAATAATCTTCGGTTGAAGCTTCATAAGAGGAAGAAGAAGAAGATAGAAGAAGAGCAAAGAGGATGAAGTTAGTTGTTGTCAGGATGTATAGAATGTGTCAAATAAAGACAGACTGACTAAATGATATAGCTTGAAAGTGCTGTAGTCATACCTCGACAAAGCTGGCGTCCCAGAGTCGAGCCTGTATCTTGAGCACAGCCTGGCCAGAGAAACTGTGTAGAGGACATTGGAAGAGCACACAGCGAGCAGAGCTCAAAAGGCAGTCCTGATGCACACAAAGACAGAAAGAGAGGTTTAGGGCATATAATGTGATATAAATTGTACAAAAAAGGATATGCTGTTATTATAATTTTATTGTATTGTATGTATTTTGTCACATAAAGTAGTAAATTAAATATTTGCACCAGTTTGAGTGACTTGCGTCGCTCTGAAGCAGCCACAGCCGGAGTGGTTCTTACTCCGTTTCCTTTTGTCATCACCTCTCCCTCCTCCTCTGGGTGAGAGCGACGAGTCCTCCCAATCTGGAACAAGCAATACAATACTCCTACGTCATTTATTTTACGTCATTTATTTCTCAAACATGAATACAATACTCCTACTTCATCTATGTCTCAAACACAAAATGTACTTTTATTGTGAAGGGGTTTGAGAGGAAGCAGAGACTCCACTTTTTAGCATATGCCTTTCAATTTACATCCATGTTGCTATAAAATTTGTCTGGTATATGAGGCAGAGAGTAACATATTTGTGAAGTAATTTAATACCTACATTTGGAGGTACTAGTATTGTATGGGTATTTGCTAGTAGTAGTATAATAGCAGGAGTGGCTTTACCAGCGTCAATGGCATTCATGTCATTCATAATGTTACATTATTCAGTTTCTTTGTACATACTGTTTAACCATGATCCCTGCCTGCCTCCCTTCACAACTGAAAGAAAAGTGAGCTAAATTGCAATTATATCACCATGTCATAAAAATGTCATATTATCCCCATATATCTCACAGTAGATCACCAGCAATATGATAAGATCAAGTCCTACCCCAGACTATTCCAGCATATATATGTGTATTTTCATTTCAGTATGATTTCAGTCCAGTATTTTACCCTGTGGTTTTCTGGCTGGTTATTTACAGATGCAGGCAGTTGTAGAGGGTTTATCGCTCCTTTTGGGCTGCACTGGTTTCCCTCAAACTTCAGACTGGACGGATACAGGAGCCACTTCCCGTTGGACAGTTCATGAGGAAACATGATGTTGAGGAACGCAGAGCCAAGAGTCTGCAAGGCCTGGCCAGGATTTGAAACCTGTGAACATAAAGGAAGTGATAAACAAAGCTAGTCATTTCTAAAAATTACTAACCAATTGAAGTTTTATTTTCACACAGTTACTCTAATGGTAATGTTTTGTTAAAGGTGTGCTATGTAGCTTTTCAGGGGGTGAGTCTGCAACCCCTTGTAAGATAAGATAAGCCTTTAGTGTCTCCAAATGGTGAACTTTGTCTTTGACTTCTATCTGTGGAGATATACTGTTTATTCAAGACAGTTGTTTTTGTCTAAATGCCTCTCCACTCCGCTCTACTGTAACTGTACTGGTGGCATCACCTGCTGGCAGTCATGGAAACAGGTGTCAAGCAAAGCATTAACATCCCATGGAGTCAAGCAAGTGTCGGAACAGAAACGTTAGTGCACCTTAAACATAGATTGTATCACAGCCCAGACCAAACCCGCTCCACCAGAACCAGAGCCCCAACCCACACCCCGCTCCTCCTCCAGTACCAGAGCCCGGACCACCCCTGCTCCATCAGAACCAGAGCGCGGACCACCCCTGCTCCACCAGAACCAGAGCCCTGACCGATAAAATTGAACTGGCCGATGTGACAAACAGGATACAAAGTTATCAGTATTTGGCTAGTGAAATGTGTGGGCAGTAATTCTAAAGTCCCAAGTCTAATTTCAGAAATTTTAAACATATTTTATAACAAAAAAGTTTTTCCTTATCAAATATGGAATATAAGAGAAATCCTTACCACAAATTCAAACTCTACAGGGCTGCCAATCTCCTCCAGACTGGCCATAGCACTCTCGCCTTTCACTGGCCCACTGAAGAACAGCTGGTGCGGGTTCGCCAGTCTAAACAAAAGTAATTAAAGTTTTATATTAGGACCTATTTTTGTATAAAGCTATTTTTATGTGACATGTGAAGAGATATAATGTCCTGCTACTCACCCACTGACAGACAGGGGGAGCTCTATCACTACTTTGGCAAAAGCTGTAACTGGAGTCAAGTCAGACTGCTCACTGATACTGGGGACACAAAAGTTACGTAATGATGCTTTATCAAACTCAAAGCCATATTGTGTTAAGTTAAATGTTAATTGCATATAGCACATTTACAACAGCACCAGCTAAAAAACTGCACAAAATTGCATGAATATACTTACGTTGACAGGAGCAGATCTGCAGTCAGCTCTGTGGTCTCAATTGTGATGTTGGCGGTACTCAGACTGATGGAGAATTTTAACTGTCAAAAAAAACAAAAATAAGTTCAGGACTATTTTAAACAGTCTCATCACATGCTGTAGGTTTGTCATTGTTTAAAATTTACCCTGCTGTTTCTTTTGACAGGATTCCCCAGGTCACACTCCACTTGAGAGCCATTCTGGTTCGCCTGGCATCGAATCTAAACAGGGCACCACACAGTGACAAAATTAAAGTATCTGAAAAAATAAACAAAGCAACATTTATCCCAACTATCCCAACAATTGGATGCTAAGGTCAGGTTAGGTAAGGTTAGAAAAGATCACTACTAAGGAGATGAATGTGTCCTTTTACATATATTTTTGGTAATTGTTCTCATACATTGTACTTTTTGCTGAAGTAAAAGGTTTCTACTTAATACACCTGCAACAGTTTTGGCTATTTTAGTCATTTAATTGTTTTACATTAAGAACAAATTCTTATTTACATTATCATTCTGTGTATTGTACCAAACAAACTGAATGAATAGTAAATATACGATGCAAATAGGTACCATAGAAATCATGTATGATTAAACAATTGCAAGTTGCTGTGTTGTATCCATGGGTTTCAGAATGACAAAAAGTTTAGACCGCTGCCATACCAATTAATAATTCAATACTAAATATTATATCTCATGAATGGCCAGCTCTCCTCAAAATGGGACCATATAACAGGAAGCTGAAACAGGAATTTGCACCAGTGCAGTGTGTATTTCTGTGCTGTACCTGGGGGGGCAGCCTGGAGCCAGCGTAGGACAGCGTGTTTGGGAGAGAGATGAGGAGTTGAGCGGCGTGAGCATCATCTCCATCCTCCTCGGGGTTCAGAGGGTCCGAGGGGAAGTTTGTGACTGTGAGTTCCAGAACCACCACACGCTGATCAGACAGAGAGAAGACCTGTACCTCCTCCTCATCTCTGCAACAAGAACACAGACATACAATACATGTAGTGGCTATAACATTATGATCCATATAATCCAATAGCCTCTCCAGTCTGCAAAGATTAATCAGAGGAATTGTAATTTATCTTACTTTATTTACATTAAAATGATCATAGTTGTATTTTGATAGTCGTAAATGTTTTCTGGACTCCAAAACTCTAAAACACATGCCAAAAGACCTTTTTTTTTTTTTTTAAATAAGAATGACATGTAACCTGGGTGAAAAACCATGCTTATTCCTCACTATTAACAATAATAATTTGTAGCTACGTCACCCAGTCACGTGACTAAGCGCAGACCAAACAACGAGTAATATAACCCGTTAGTGACAGTGGAGCAAACCAAGAGGGTCAAGGAGGGTCTGGCTGCAGACCATGGATCTATTCAAATAACTGGATAGGGTATTGCTGCTTGTAGCTGCGTCCAGCTGACGTTGGTACTTCAGCGGAAAAAATCCCATGGGCTGAGAAAGGATTTTTCTCACAATGTAATCAAAAACATCTCGTGTTCAACTGACAGGGCACTTACAACTTTCAAAAATGTCGGATTTTGTAGCAATTTTTACCTATTTTTAGATCATAAACTGTTTCTCAGCTCTTCAGTTTTCTTAATAAACGCTTTATAATCATTAGCTCTACCTCCTCTCGCTCTGATTGGTCAAAGCGAACACATGATACACAAGACTGCACACTGTGCATGCGCTCGCGTGTATTCGCGTGTGCCCGCGGGAGAAAAGAGCACTACTGCGCATGCTCAATTGGCCCAGAGCCGATTTTTCTTTTTTTTTTATTACACAACTGGGTGCATAAACTTGATACAACAAACTGTGTGTCATCAGCAGTTACATGTCAGGATGAGGGAACAAAAACACAACGTATTATATAGTAACAATACAATACAATAGTAATAAAACAACATAAAAAGTGCATTTAGGAAGAGAAAAAGATAATAGCAAGGGGAGTAGAGTTCATTCAGTCTGAGTCCATAGAGTCCAGGGGAATTTCACACATGTAGGAAAACACTTCTATATAGGGTCCATCCCTATATTTCAGAGATTTAATATAATTTGAGTTAATTTTTAAATGGGATAAAAAATTTGGCAAGACATAATATTAAGTTTAATCTCTATTAAAAATGAATGAATATTAAGTTTAATCTCTATTAAAAATGAATGAATATTAAGTTTAATCTCTATTTAACATGACTGGTAAGGACGGAAACATGGACTGTATGCAGTGTTGCATTTCAGACCAAAAAGGCTGGATTGTAGCACAAAAGAAAAAAAGATGATCAGTGCTTTCAATCTCCTTTTCACAAAAAGTGCAAATATTAAAATGTTCAAGTGCACTTTAGGAGCAGCAGGAAAGGCCAAGGACATTGTTCTTAGTTTTGTTATTGTTTCTTTATCAAATTTATTATGTATACCATTTTTATTTTGCAAACCAGGAAAAAATGTTTCTGTTAGACATTTTCTAATGAAAAAATGATTGCATTTTCTGTCTGTTATTGACACTCCTTACTATACAAACATCTTCTGAAATATAATTCTGAATTAGTTTATGAGTTCATATTTCAGTCTTTTTTACAATTCTTCCGAATATTAAAGAGCCCAAAATACACTATTTTCTGATCTATGTTATAATGTTGTTTCCTCACCAAAACCATATCTGGAGTTGGGTTTTGTTTCATTCACACATGTTTAACACACAATCTCTGAGCTCTTCTCTCAAACTGAAAACACTCTGTTCCACCTTGTGATGTCATGTGGTAATACCAAAAGTGCTCCACTGTATTTTTAAACTCCATACACCTTCACTAGAATCATTTGAATAATTTTTGCCCTGAAATTTCCTATCTCTACTTAACACAAGAGTCAATTTGGTGCAGTATAAGACCTAAGAAGGAATGTAAATGTAAACTTTGGACAGATGAATTGCAAATCTTAATTCCAAAGCTCATGCCAAAAAAATCATAATTTTCTTTTTTACTCAAATGGTTCAACCCTACTCCAGGATATTTACCCTAGAGGAGCAGCATATTGGGCTTTTTACTTTGGAGGGGCAGATATCCGCGGGTCAGACAACACTGTGGTGAGATTAGGCTCCTCCGGCAATCCAGTGCAAATACGGTGGGCTCTGATTGAAGCAGGGGCCGGACCTATGGGGAGGATTGGAAACTCCAGAGACCACCACATCTCATCACCTCCTCATCGCGCTGACGAGTTTGCGCGATTGAACTGAAGATTGTGGCCTGAAAGATCTCACACGCAAGTCAACACAGGGAGGAGAGGCCCATTGGAGCAGTGATATCAGGAAATGTGTTTGAGCAAGTTCACTTAAGCCCAAAGGAGCTTTTTGCAAAATAAAAATCTGACTTTTTATCAAAATTAAATTATAGTAGTCCAGGAAGTTTAGTGTCTATGAATATAAGCACTAATTTACTTCTAATATCTTTGCTACAATGAGTTGATAGCTACGGTTTTAGAATGTAATGTGAAAATTATAATTATAATTATTTTGTTTTATGAACTGGTAAAATAAAATAAAATACATAGTCTTACGATCTTTTGGAAACATAATCCCTGGCAGAAAAAGGTAACACAATGAGAGGACACTGACATACAGCTGTTTGTACTAATCTTTTAATGCACTGAATTTGTAATGGTAATGTGTAATAATGGTTGCCTTTTCACATTATGATAAAGTATTTCCAGAAGTTCCTTTTTTGTTTAATAAACTATCTTTTCTCAAAGGAGAGATGTCTATCTTTCTTTATAATCTGATTTAAATGCATTCCCTCTATAAATGTAATCCCTATAAATGTAATCAGTTTAAAAATAATAAAATAAAATATAAAATATCTCATCACTGTTTTTTAAACTTTAAGATAATTTGAGAATTATTAGAATAACTTGGTCTCAAAATCCAACAGTTTGATTATCCGTGCGTAATTTCCGTGGTGCGTGTTTTTAGAATTAGCATTGCTAACAGCCTTGCGGTCCGTGGAGGCTACTTCGAGGGCTGTAGTAGATGTGACGTGTATGCGGTGCAGGCCACGTGTTTCCGGTCTAGAGTGGAGCTCCACTTTTCCCATCTGCAGCCCGACCATGAATCTATGAGCCAGACTTTCTGGTGGTGGCACGATACCAGCATGATGGTACAACCAAAGTCAGACTCAGACTCCGTTTTAAGGCAAAAAAAATTACACAATGGGGCTCTAAAGAAAAAATGTATTTCTGAATTTCATCAATAATATGCTACTGCTACTGAGAAACTTCCAGTCACCATATTTCAGCCTTTACATTTAAAAACTCAGTGTACAATAGAAATAATTGTTTGAGTTATAAAAATAATTGAATTGACTAGTCGACTGCTAAAATAATCTTTAGTTGTAGCCCCATTATTATTTTGCCCCTGGCTTAATCACTACTTACTAAAGAAAAGTACAATATTTCAATGCAACCTGTCCAAAGTAAATAAATACATCAGCATCTGTCATAGAGAAGGATGCTAAGTTTCCATGGTGACGTACCGTGGCAGAGGGGTGAAGAGGTCAGAGGTCAGAGGTCGTGTTCCAAACTGGTAGCTGAGCCTCAGGTTGCTCTGGCAGATCTTGTCACTGCCACAACCCTCACGCAGGAAGTTTATCTTTAAGGGTAAAGAGGAGGGTGGATCAGGTAAAAGCAAGATAGCACATTAAAACACCTCCAAGCCAATGAGTACAGTAAATGTGACCGTAATTAATACATTAAATTGTTGACAAAATAAATGTAAGCATTAAAGTAAAAGGTGCTTAATGCAAAAGAGAAATCTAGAGGGACACAGGTGTATTGTATATCTGAGAAAAGAAAAATACATACTTAAAGGTCCTATATTACACAAAACTGACTCTTGTGAGCTTTAAACCATATTGTACTGTTGATGCCTCATCAAAAACATACCTAGTGTTGTGTTTTGATTCATTCACACATCATATTATTATTAGTCTGTCTACATCTCCAGATAATGCTCTGTTCCACCTTGTGATGTCATGTAGTTTTCGAGTTAAGAGCTACCTTTCACCTTTCATTGAATAGACTGGCAACTCCAGATTGCCTAATTTCCCAACACTTGAAAATAATCATAATGACTAGTTTTGAACTTAGACAAGCACATATAAGTGCTTATAATAAATACATTTTTACATTAGAAAAGTCTTTTTTCCCATGTCGAGAAAGGATCGATGGATGGGGGATATTCAGGGACAGTTCCTGTAAATGTTGGTTCATCTCCATCTGTTGTTGACCAATGGCTGTTTCAGTGTTTGATTTTCTAACTTTCTGTTTGTTAAATCAACCAGTTTGTAAAGTCCTGCAAGGCAATTGCTGTTGTAATTTTGGGGTTTACAAAAATAAACTGAACTGAAAATAATAAATATGTAGTTGTGATTTGATGGCTGTACCTCAGAGTGCAGAGTGTTGGAGGGGGACACACTCAGAATAGGAGGCAGCTTCTCCAGTCTCTTGGCTCCAGAATGTCGTCGTGGTGGCACTGGTTTAATGGTGTGAGTGATTGCCATGGAGATCGGACGCAGTTTGTCTCGAATGTTCTCCTGAAAGGAAAAAAAAAAACAGATTTATTAAAGTTTTATTTCAACAACTATAACTCATATTGACCCGTTACGAACAAGGTAATGGGCAACTTTTGTTTAAGAAAAATAGAAACATTTTTTAAAAGTTAATTTGTTTGCATCTAATTATAGTCCATGAACTAGGAAATAGCTCTGTTAGCATACTAGTTGTTGTCAGCATTATGATCATAGACTATAACCATAGACCCCAACCAAGGCACTGATTCTTCTGATTCTAAAGATGTTGTGCCCAGACCTGAACTGAATGATTATCCATTTTCTGATATAAAAAAATGGTACTAACATGTAGCTGGAAGGTAGCGGTAGTGCACACATGTTGGCGCTGTCTGTGCATCTCCACCTCCTCAGTCTGAGTGTATTCCGCCTCCAGTGAACTTCGGCCCAGGAAGTTCACTCTGTGTGGGAGCCCCAACTTCCTGCGCTCTGTGTCGGCCTCAAAATGCACCACGAGGGCTATAGAAAAGAAAATGGGGAGGAAAATATTAAAGAATAACTAATAGTGATGTATAAACTATTGTTCTATCTCCGCAAACCCTCAAAGCAGTATATAAGAGGGAACAATTCTATCATTAACAATAATACAAGCACATTCATAAACCACATTACACATATTCTGGAGCCAAGAGGATAGAGTGTTGCTCAGTTGATTTTCTGTATTTTATCTACCGGGACAATTATAATTTGGTAATTCAACTAAATTTCTATGCTTGGATTATTTTGCATCCTGTAATCTAAACCTGGATTAGCCCAGCCCTAAACCAGGACTACAACAACTTCAACAAAATATTTTACAACAGGACTTAAATGTCTTCTGCATTTATTTCAGATCAAAGGCAAAATGCAATTCCTACTTGAGTGAAGATGCTCTAACTTTAGATGATGAAGTCAATCACTCATTGATTGAAGGGATTGATGGCATACAGTGCATACATTAAACCTCCAGACTACAGTAAGTGCTGCTATTTTTTATGATAATGGTGTCCTAACATGAGACAGGGCTGAGGTCACTGTCCTTTAAATAGAAAGCTGCTGCCACAGAGAGGATCATATGAAATCTACAGGGACTGGACATACATTAGTCATGACTTACTGATGTGTGGATTATAGTGCTCTGGATGGGCTGTGAACAGGAAGCAGGCCTTTACATCAACACTGAAAAAGAAAATAATAACAGGTTAAAATTGTGCTTGAAATATGTAAGAGTGAAATTGGCGGACTGAGGAGCCAAAGTATATTGAATGTCCTGGTTTATTGCAAACAAGTCAAAATAATCAAGAAAAGTGTTTGCGTCAATGAAGGTGCTGACAAAAATAAATACCCCAATATTTTTGGGATTATGACATACATTTAAAAATGATCATAACATTATGGCATATTCCATCTGAAATGTGTTAAAAGGCATGTGTATATCATGACTGAAGGTGAAGTATTGTAACCTTGCACAACAGGATGATTTCACAAACTCATGAGAATCCACTTTGGCATGAACCTGCTGTAAGGACAATCAGATGGGCGAACCACTCAGAGCACAAGATCTTTGTGCATTTGTGAACAGGGAAGACGTCTGTGCTTTTTGGGTTGTTCTACTGTTTCGATGCTTTGACCAATCAGATTCAAACTTGATTATAAAAGTAGCAGTATATATATAGCCTTACCAGACTCCCTCACGGCCTTTGCAGTTGTGATGACCCAAGTCGATGTACTGAGGGTCAATGGTCAATTCTCTGGCCACATGAATCACTGGACGAGACCTGCAAAATGAATATCAGTAATTATCATGTTTTCTTTTCTTTTGGTCTATGTAATATGGATGTGTTGGCTGTGTTTTTTTATTATCGACTATCTTATAAATAATATGCTTATTTAAAAATCTGAACAAATGATTTGTATAGAAACACATTTGTAACAAACAGTTTGTTACTTACATACTTTACACTGTATATTTTCCCAATATGAATAAGAAAAAAAAACAAAAACTCAAATGTCCGTTTAAAGCTACAAAAGAGTTGTGACTTGTCATACATTACATTAGAATAAATGTAGGCTGGCAGACATAGTTGAAAATGAAATACCACAGCACATACCACATTGACTAATACCACCCTCTGTCTCGCTCATATTTCTTAAGCTTATCTTCACCATTAAAGGTAAGAATATTATACTCCCCAAGAAACTGCATGTCTCTGTACTGTAGATCATTGTAAATAAGAGCGTACTTTTGTAGTTTTGTTTTCTCACCTGAAGAGGACCACAGAATCGTTGAGAGACCCCACGGCCAAATCCGGGTAGTGGTTATTGTCCATGTCCAGACCCCCGGAGATAGAGTACCCAAAACGCCTCACGTCAAAGTCACGGCCATCCAAAACCTGAAAATATCCGGTCAGCAAATGTAATGATAACAATGATTTACTATGCTATGCAGCTTTTGTGGTGTGTGCCATCTGTTTGTTTCTATGGAGATGCTATTGCTTTGCCTGATTGTTCCACAGTGGCATTAAACATATCTACTTTGCATCATTTATTCAATTACAGGCATTCTCATTGTTTAAAAATACCCTAAAAAAACATTCTCTCCACCTGAATTGTAACTTGACCTGCTAGTATTGCCTTCTTGTACCCATATGTTTAATGCTATACTGTGGAAAATTTCAGGCAAAGCAATAACATCTCCATGGAGACGAGCAGAAAAGTGACATAGCGCACCTTTAAGTTTTATTAAAATTGAGAGACTTACTTGAGCTGGTTTAGTTTCAATGCCAGAATCAGACCCTCTGTAGATGAACACTTTGCCGTCTCCATCAAACGGAGCTCCAACTGCAATATCTAAAATAAAGGATGAAAATACCCACACACATTATACAATTCACTATACACTATACAAATAGAAATGGGAGTATAGCTCTGATAATGTTTAAATAGACACTTTTATATATGAGTTTTAGAATGATGAGAAATTAGGACCATTGCCATAGCGATTAACAATTTAAAACTATCGATAAATAGACTGAATTAACTGACAGCTTCTTTACCTCCATATCCGTCTTGGTCCAGGTCTCCAATGCTGCTCACGGTCATCCCAAACATGGAGTCATAGGTCCCGTTGAGTCGGATGGGACGCGAATGGTCGTCCCAGTGGCCAAAAGGATTCAGGTAAACATAAACTGCTCCTCCGATCTCTGCTTTACGGTCGAAGAAATTAGGAGCTCCAACAATCAAGTCTGTCCATCTGAGAGAGAAGAGGGGACAGCAAGATGGTAAACAAGGATTTGACAACAGGAAGAAGTGTGGAATATTAGTTCTAAAATGCAAACTACAGAGGTAACAATATAAGGAGCCTATTGTGCACAAATGGCAGTTCATGATTCATTTTATCTCAAAAATAATTCAGAACCATTTACAATAATAAATTATCACAAATACGGTGATACTCAGGTGGTAGTCTTAAGATTTGTGGTTTGATCCAGCTCCAGTCAGTCCATGCTGTTTGTGTTCTTTGGCAAGACACTACATGCAACATTCTTTTGTGTGAATGTTTGGAGATGATCGGACCGTTGGAGCACATTACCAGTCACATCTCTTTCAATCCGTCCCAAGGCAACTAGGGCTATTGTAGTACCTTATGACCAGCTTAATATTAGTTTATGTCAAGTGTCTTTGAGTGTCCAAAGTGTCATATCAGTCCAATACAATTTTATGATATTGTTCTTATACAACAGGGGTGTCGAACACAAATTCAGAGGGCCAAAATTAAAAACTGGGACTAAGTCGTGGGCCAAACTAAATATTTATTGAACAATTTCAACAATATCTGCATGTTTTCTCTTCTTTTCAGATATGTAATGTTAAACCATTTCTTATTAAAATAAATATTTAATAATAGTTTTTCTTAAACATTCGATCCAGAACAAGCATAATATAAAATAATAACAACATTTTAAATAAATAAGGTCTTAGCCAGTGAGCCAGGTCTAATACATATTTGATATGATCTCGCGGGCCAAATATAATTATATCGCAGGCCAAATTTGGCCCCCGGGCCTGAGTCTGATGTGTCTGTTATATAGGAACAGAAAGATGGTAGTCGTCTTACTCCAGCACAAAAATAGCAAACTGCTCTTGAGGTAAAAAGCGTGGCGTGTTGTCTGCATGTAATGGGAAAGAGTTTTATTCTCCAATCAGGAAATGTATGTTAGCATGCTATTTGTTGTTTTTTGTTTGTTTTTGAGACAGGTAAAGTCAGGTACAATGCCAGACTCCTCACCCGTCTTTGTTGAGGTCGGTAGTCGCCACAGAATACCCAAACGAAGACGCCAGCTCCTCCCCCCAGAAGATATGCTGCGGCACCAGTCTGTACACATTATCCTTCTTCAGCAGCACTACCGCCCCCGTGTGGTTCGCCCTGGGAGCACCTGCTACGAACGTCAGCTCCCCACGGGCCATTATTCCCATCGCTGAGTCCACTGAGAAACCTGTGGATGTTTTATATTGAAAACCAACACATTGACGGGAAAGGGGAAGGGACAGGGAGGGGGAAAGGTCAAAGGTTAGATGTCATTTTGTAACATAGCATCCTTTTCCTTAAGCTAGCATGTTGTGCTCATCTTGTTACTGATGAAATGTGTGCTTTAAGTGCACATTGATTTTGTGCCAAAGTCCTGATTGGACTAAATGTTCTGTGTGGTGCATTCGTGCTGCAGGGGAAATATGTCAGTGGTCAGTGATAGCAGCAGGTTGTAATTCAATTGCTGGGAGCAGTGGTTCTCAAGTAGTGGGGCAAGTACAACCGCTAGTACATGGGCATGTTTGGTTGAAGCCAGTTCTGTGTTGGTGAATTTTCTTATTCTTATGCTTTCTTTTATTGCTTGTATTTTTTCTGAAACTGAAAGAAAATCTGATCTAAAACTTGACTTGCCTAGTCTAGACTTGGCAAAGTACTAGTTTTGACATGGATGCTTTTTTAAAATCTGTTTTAATCCTGTTTTATTAAGGAGTCACTTTTGTTGTTTGAACTCTACTTAGACAATGTTGAGTCTTGGTATAATTCTTGTTTTAGTCCTGCTACAGACTGCATAAGTCCTGATAAGCTTCTTCAGTCCTGGTTCGGTCCTTGTTTGGTCTGGATTTTGTCTGTCATTAGTCCAAATGTTGCTATCAAATTGGTTGGATTCACTGTGAGTCCTGGTTTAGACCTGATTTGATCTTGGTTCAGATAAGGTGGCTAAGTCCTGGTTTTCATCTGACAGTATTAAATTCTAGTCCTGGCTTTGTCCCTATTTAGACATGGATTAGTCCTGGTTTTGAGCTTCCCAATTTCTGCTTTTAACTTAGACAAGTCTTGGTTTAGTCCCTGTTTAGACCTGGTTCAGTACTAGTTTTAACATGTTTTTGTTTGATTGGCTGTGGTCCTTTCTTTTGCAGACCAAATGAAGTCCTAGTTTAGTCTTGATTTGTTGCTGGTTCAGATAAGGTGTCCAAGTCCTGGTTTTCATCTAGGAATATTACTGCTTTAAACCTCTAGCCCCAGTTTAGTTTAGTTTGGAATGTGCTTTAGTTTTGGTAAAGTTCACCTTTAGATTCTTACCCAATAAACCAGATTTCCTTGTTATTAAAAATATTCTCAGGGTGGTACTTGGCTTGTAAACTTCGAAAAAGAATTGCTAAGACCCAGACATAGATATATTGGCTTTTCCTAATGCTTACTGTGTATCTGAGGAGTGTACAGAGGGCTAGGACATTAATGTAATTTATGAGCCCAAGGCAGATCCTCCTTTTGTGGGAGGCTACAATGAAATGCATGTTTGTGTCCAGAGGAATGTGCATTTTAATCAGGTAAAGCAGCAGACCAATAAGGGAGTCAGTAGGTTTACATGCGAGGCTGAGATCTACTCTGGTTGTAGATTGGGTAAGATGTCTAACTGGATTTCTGTTTAAGTTTAACGTATGGGTTTCCAGTACTCAAGTGAGCTCTGCGTCTGCTTAAATGAATTAGGTCTTGAAATACAGCACAACAAGATGCAAATGTTCAACCTGTCTTGAGTGTAGCTAATCCATCTTTATATTATACTTTGGAAGATTGAAAAACAAAGCAATAACAAGACAAGCAGGTGAACAGAAGTATAACCATATGAAATAAACATTCATTGTTGTTTGTGATAATGATGATAAATCCTTGAATCTCAAATCTAAGGAAAACAAGGGAACTAGATTTTAAACTGTGAGTTACAATCCAAACAACCCTGACCCAGCATGTAAACTCACTGACCATCTGCTTCTTTGTGTTTCATACAAAGCTGTAAAACTCAATAATGCATTTAATAAAAACAATTGACACATATAACATAAAGCCACATGCATTAGCCTTACAAACATGCGGATAACAGACAGAGACAGACATTTGTTAGACCTGGGCAAACATGCAAAAGAAGAGAAAGAAAAATCTAGACAAAACACAAAACATTAAGCTCCTGGGTAACAGGTGTGGTATGCGTCCGCTCAAAAAGCGGTCATTAAAAGGTGTTAAATGGAGACAAGGTGCTACATTTTCCACAAAGTGATCGCTATTCACTCTAGGCTCATTCTCAAGGTCATGTGTCTAAAAGCTGAAAGGCTATATAAGGCTAATGCTGCTACATTTATATGGGACTGACTGGGTGGGTTTGCTCCGCTTTATTAAGGTGGGGAAAACAGAGGTGAGTTTACAGCTTTCCATTGACTTGTAAAGGAATAGGGGGTTTAAAGGTTTTTATTGTTGGCACTTTGAGCTAAACCAAAGGCTAAAGATAATGAGTGCTCAATAGTGTTGGTGCCAAAGCAAGTGAATTATAGTTTATACAAGGCAGTTCATAAGCTAAAGGGGAATTTCCCACATTTGAATTGGATGTGGAACATCTTTACAAAATAAATCCTATAATTGTTCATGGATGTTATTTTCATGGGGGGACTTATTAATTATATAAGTCTTATATTATATTACTAGGGGTGTAACAATATCCAAGTCTCACCATACTATATTGTCACGGTATGAACCTCACGGTACAATATTTATTGCAATATTGTGGGAAAGCTCATGATCTGGTGGGGAGGCTCATGATTAGGTATGTAACAATATCCAAATCTCTCTGTACGATATTTTCACGATATATATGTCATGGTAGGGATGTGCAAAAATATTGAAATATCAATATATTGTATCGTTTAATGTGATGATTGACATATATCAATATCGTGAGCTGCTGTAGCAATATATTACCAAGAGTATTTTTTGGTATATTTTACTAAAGTATTTTGTTACAGAGCGACAGTTTTGTGGTTTGTTTAGTGGAAGGAAACTCATTTATGCTACACATTTGACATTTTCACTGTTTTGATGATTAAAATGGGCGGTTTCATATGAACTTTAAACAAGAAGTGGTTTATCAAAGACTTTTAGTATCACAGCCATGATTTAGCCTTTATTTTTTACTGAACCATATTGAATCGTTTTGAAATGTATTGTATCAAATCGAAAGTGTACTGTCGAGATATGTATCGTATCGTGGCCTATGTATTGAGGTATGTATCGTATCGGCAACTTCTGAATGATACCCAGCCCTATCTCATGGTGTGATATTTATTGCAATATTTTGTGGAGACTAACAAAATTGAATGCTACTTTTTCCTTTTAAAATGCCTTGACAAGAAGATAATCCAAAGAACTAAGACTTAAAAGTGCTTAGAACTGTTATTTCTTCTTGTAGTCTACACTGAAATGGAGCAAAGGATCATGGTCTATGTAGTTCTCTCTGTCTTTTTTTAGCTACTGCTGCGCCATAACTCTTAATTTAAATAAAGAGACTTAATTCGATATATTGTGATGGTCCATGATATTATTGTGAGAACTTTGATGATACGATATCACAATATTTTGGTTATTGTTACATCCCTTTAAATTACTTTTTTTTTTACAAAATGGAGATGGGAAAATGTATTGTAAAATTGATAGTATTACAAATATGGAAATTATGTGTATGCAGTTTGTAACCTACATTAACCCCATTTAAATTCACATTACCACAATATTGATGCAGATATCCCTTTAACATTAAATAGAGACGTGAGACTACTGTTGAAATGTAGATTTTTCTATCATTATACAATGTTTAAGGGTCTAGTCAGTGATATAAATTACTAGGGTCAACATTTGTAGATTATTGAATCTAAAAAAACAGTAATATAACAAGTGAATTTCTTTTATTTGATCATATACCTTAGGTCCACACAAAATAGCATCACTGTCTGGGGTTTTAGTAGCATGCAGGTGTGGCAGATTAGGTCCAATGGAGGCATGTTGGTTATAGATGAGGCTAAAAAGGTCGTGTAGGATTTAGTGTTGTCATGGCGATGGCTCAGCATGGGGGCGATCGGGGTTTGTGAATGACGAGAGATCTATAGGAACGCTTCAAGCCACACTGAGTTAAAAGAGATATCACCACAACCCATTAATAACATCAAACAGGTGCTAAGACACAGCAGTCAGTCAGTATACTACTATCTACGCTCAACATCCAGCAACATTAAAGACTACATACTACTTTTTCTAAAGATAGTGACGTTTTCTAACACTACAAATCACCAGAAAATCCTGCAAAGCTCCCCACATGCAGACGGACCAGACGGACGAAAGACATAGAAGACGAGCTACTAAGGTATAGCCTGACCAGACCAGATAAGATTCTAATTGTAGGATTTAAAGTGTAACTTAAATAATCAGGCTATTTTTCTTGATTTTTGACTGCTGTTCTTGTACTTTGTATACAATGAAATGTCAAAATTGTGGGAGAAATAAAGCTTATCTTAGTCTTATTTATTTAATTACTTTATTTTTTATTAATATCTTACTTGCAACTATTTTGACTGGTTATGTTTAATACCTGAATGAATATTATAACTTCCAAGCTATAGAAGGCAGTGTCATTCTTATAGTAATGCAAAATAGATTTTAAATCAACTTAACAGTTACTAATATTTCAATACAAATTCAAATTATTCCAGACCTCTATTACAATTCCATTATGTTTTATATTTCTAATGATACTAACATTAATCCATAACATTTTTCTTGCACCATGTAAGGAAATACCTATTCTGTGTAAACTGTAAACTACTTATAAATACATTTTTGATATTTGTGTACCATGTGCATATATACAATGGATTTCCCTTTGGAAGAATACATTTGAAAAACAATAAGTTTGATCAGGTGACATAATTTGATTGTAAAAAGGTGATATATTGGTAAATACTATGTCCGACTGGCCAGGCTAGTAGTAGAGTTTATACACTCTGCTGCTTTACAAAGAGACTGCCATCTTGAAAACCATCCAAGCAAAGTGCTACAGGTAGATGGATGTCTCTTCAAAGTAGCAAAAACGAACAAACTAAATCTAAAATAGACATGACGGACAATGGACAAATTAGACAAAGACGATTTTCCCACATCCAAACCGTAACAGACCCCCACGCCTACAAACCTAAGTAGCTATTATGGGCTACGTCTTCAAATGCAGTGGGTCGACTCGAGGGTTCCAGTGTTTTGTACAGCAACGCATCTTCAATCGGGCTAGCCATGAACAACAGCCCTAAACACGAGATGTCCCAGCAGAGGGGAGGACAGAGGAGAGAGAGAGAGGAGGGTGGACAGGTGGAGGGGTGATGGGGTGATGAAATGGTGAGGGTAAATAAAAGAAAAGAGAAACAGAAAAGGGGAGAGTGCAGGTGAGACAAGCAGCAGTGATCTTTTGGTTGTGTTTTGGTTGCGGTGGCGCAGTCCTGGTGGGTTTTGTTCCTGTGTGAAAATGGAGAGAGGAGGTTTAGGCTCAGACAAATCCCTCCTGATGGGTTTGTGGGTTTTTTATTGTTATTGGTACAGATTATGGTGTTTTAGGGACTTATCATAAACCTGTAGCTCATGCTGTTATCATTTTAAATAAGATACTTCTGGATCTCCTTCAGGTAAACTTTATACTGTGGACAGCATGCCATTTTAGAGACATGTTTGCCCTCCACTCATAGAGACATGAGAAAGTATTTCACAAGTGGGTGGAGCCATAGTTAGAGCTTTGTGACTCAGACTGAGGGTTATCCAGGCATAATCCAAATACCAAAACACAGATTCCTAAACAGGACAGGGGAGGAGGCATATGTCCCGCTCAAGCACATTTCACTAGTCTAAGTATCAGTTTACTAAGATAATGTAATTAAAAGTTAATTTAAAGTTGTTGGTTTTTTTTATTTCATAATATGTTTTAGATTCCTTTTTACTACGTGTTTGTAAGATACCATAATTGAGGAGTCACTAAAATTGGCATTAAATTATGAACAAATATGAATAAACTTATTACACTATTAATTTCTCTCAAATATTTTCTCATTTTCTCATTTCTATTTTGTTTTTGGCTCAAATATTTTTTTTTATAGCTTCCTGCTCCTTCTTGTTATATGCTGCATTTTGATTACTTTTTCAAAAGCTATAATATTTTCTTTAAAATAGTTTATCACTATGTCAGAGATCTTAATTTGAAACTCATAGATAAAGTAAATCCCACAGTAGCCCAGGGCAGTAGGGTCCTGTCTGAGCCTGGTGGTCCCTCTCAGTGAGTTTAAAAGGGGGAGAAGGAGGGCAATGGTTGTTGGAAATACCCAAGTAACTGTGGTAGGGCACTGGGATCAGCTGTGCGTTTAGCTGTTTCTGATCGGCGACCTCATATGGACCGTCGTCATAGAAACCAAGGTCCAGTAGGGTCTGATTCAAGAGCTGGACTCGCATCTCGCCTGTGGGGGCAAAGGTGAGGGCACGGCAAAGACACACAATACACAACAATGACTGTGGTTTAGGAGAGAGTAGAGTTAAAACATGGAATAAATACACAATTATTTTTTTTATCTACAGAATGTGTTACAAGTGTCCTCTGTGGTTCTAAATGTGTTTTGTTGAATTTTATATATTTACAATTTAGAACGACACTGAACAGCTGTAAGTACTTATTATGAATACTCATGAGTATTCACAATAAGTACCTACAGCTGTTTATGCTCTAAAAGTAAAGGGACAGTATGTAACTTTCTGGAGGTGTCACCTTCATGAGTCCATGGAAATAGAAAGTTAAAATCATACTTCAGAACATTCTCCATGAAGATACATATGTTTAAATGTATTCATTCAGTGTAATTAGGTGAAATATTTTTAGTGCATTATTTGGCTAAAAGGTTACATGCTGTGGCTTTAAGTAGTAGTTAATTTATGGACAGTATATCTACCACAAGACACTGAATTAATTAGTATTTCTTCAGAATAACTTGCATAAAAGTATGTTCTGATGAAGTTTTAGAGAATACCCTCTCTCATCTAAAATCAGTGTATAAAATCAATTATACACTACAGAACCTTGATTGCAATTCGCTGAAGTCGACACAGTGCAATATGGATTGTATTGAACTACATATTATAATAAGCTCTCCTCTTCACCAGCTCAGGCTCAGGCTCTCTCTAATGAAGTGCACGGCCCAGTAACATAATTTCTGCTTCCAATTATGAGATTGGTTTATAAATCAATTTGTCTTTTCCATTTCACATCTACTGTAAGTGAAATTCTAATCACCATGCTTTTTCTTTGTCCAAATGAGTCCTGGCTGTATCACGAGTATGTAACAGGGTTGAACTTTAGCACCCAAATAGGTCTATTCCAATTGCAGTTATTCTCTGTATGTCAATAAATGTCATGCATACTTGCCTTATACAGTATACATACTTGCTTTATACAGTATATATACAACAGTATACTGTTACAGTATGTTACATACTGTTAATTTCTAAAATACAGGTGGGGATAATATTTCTATTTCAAATTAAATTTCACATCATTCAAATTTTAGTCTAAATAAAAATGTCAATTTGTCCACTGGTTATAGACAATTCTCTGACTCAACAAATTGTTTAAAAAAAACAACAACACATAATTGCACTATTTTTACTGTGAAAACTCTCCCTCCTTACCTTTCCAGTTGTAAGTCCCTGGTGCTCCAAACAGTATAAAGTTGTTATCTGGAGTGAAGCTGACAGACATGCCCTGCTGACAGAAGCCAAACTGCTCATGCCCCTGAGGTCGGCCCTCACAGAACTTCCACTCTCCTCCGTCCAGGTCATCTCGCTCTGTCAGGTCCTCGCTCAAGACGTAGCAGCGGCCGATGGGGTCCCGCGTCTCTGAGGGCTGCCTCACACGCTGACGTAGCTCGTACAGGTGGGCACAGGTCTGCAGGGTGAAAAGACGGAGGGACAATGATATGATTTAGAATATGGTTGGATGTGTATCAACTATATTTAAATGTTATGACTAGTTTTAGTCAATTTAAAGGTCCTGTATTACACTATTTTCTGATATAACTTATACTGTTATTCCCTCATCAAACACAGACCTGATGTAGTGTTTTGTTTCATTCACACGTTTAAAACAAATCCTGCATATTTACACTGAGTTCTTCTGTGAAACTGAAAACATTCTGTTCCACCTTGTCTGATCTACTGAACTACAGACAAAAAGAAGCTGTTAACTTGGAAAGTACCCCTACATGACATCATGAGGTGGAACAGAGCACTTTGTGCTTTGGAGAAGTGGACAGACTAATAATAAAGGCTTACTCAAACATGTGTAAATGAAACAAAACACAACTCCAGGCATGTTTTTGATGAGATAACATCATTCTTACATGGCTTAAAGATCACAACAGTCAATTTTAGAATAAACTTTTAGAATAAATGTAAACTAACACTAATCTAAAAGTTAACATGCTGAATTCTAATAATTTTAACTGAACTTGATTGTAACTTTTCTAGCAGAGGGACTGCCACCTCCATGTCTCCATTGAGATGCTATCGCTTTGCCTTGAATGTTTCACAGTATGGCATTAAACTTGTGAAAGATGACGCCAAAAGGCCAAGCTACAGGTCAAATCTGCAGAGAGGAGAGCACTCACAGCAATATATCCATGGAGACAAGCAGGTGGCAGCAAATTGCATAGTGGCTCTTTAAGGAGTAAAGAGTGTGTATTGTATAGTTTTTAATTGTGAATGTTCTGAACTTACCACAACTTTTCCTCCAATGCCTTGACTTTTAACTGTAACTCCCAGCCACTGGTTGTCCTTGCTCTCTTTATCTAGACTCACTAGAGAAAGAAAAAAATTGCATCATCAGCTGCTATAGTTTATAAACAAATAAAGGGCAGAATATACACCTAGAATATAGAATTAGCAACAGTAATGAACATATAGACAGATCTCAGCAGAGCACATTGCTGTTAGTAAATCAAAACCATAAGAGTTTAAAAGAATAATTAAGTCATCCAAGTACCGTCTCCATCGATGTCCACTCGCTCACAGTCATATTCTTCAGGTGAAACGGGACATCTGAACAAAGCTCCGGGTCTGCTGCCCAAAAGTGCCCCCTGTCCTGCAGCCTGTGGTGCACCCACCAGAATCCTGTAAGAAGAAGGTGGACATTAGTATAGATTTTAGTTTAAACAAAAATCAATCATAGAAAACCATGAATTGTTACCATACAATCATCCACACTGAATATCACTTGAATCTGTAGCTCATTGTCTGGAGAGGGGTTGGCCCAGCAGCATTAAAGACACACTATGTAACTTTGCTGGTGCTGGGTCAAATGTTGAGGTACTTCATTCAAAATTCATGGGAACAATAAAGTGTACCTTAACAATTCTATGAGCACTTTAGGACACTGTTTCTCAAACTTTTTTTCTGGGGACCCATATTTTAAAAGTCACAACCCTTCGTGACCCAAGTCAATAGACATTATTCATAAATCACAAAATAAAGGTGGATTGACCATTATTGATCATGTCTCTCTGAACAATTAGTGTTACTCAAGTTTTAACCAATAAAAGGATCCACAAGTCGCCTATTTGGACATTCAGTGTAGCCCATTTCTATTTCTTTCTAACATTCAATTGCACCAGCAATACTGTAAAATAATTACAAAAAGATTATAAATTATACAAAACATGTCTTAACATTTGAACATTTCTAATGAGATGGGCCTGTGTGTGTTTTTATGGCGCATTCCAGTCTGGAGTGCAGAAGGAGAGCAGCATTCAGTCTGTTTCTGTACTTTGTCTTAATTTTTGTGAAGACAGAAAATCCCAGTTCACACATGTATGTAGTAGTGAAAGGAATAAGCATAGAAATACTGGCCCTACTGAGGACAGAATATTTACTCGCTCTCTCACATGTCAGAACTGTATATTGCAGACCTACATGCAGATTGTGACAAGGCGACTCAAAAAAAATCTCAGTCTCAAAAAAACAACAAAAAAACAATGCTTTAGGAGTTCTGTATCTTTCTCTCTTAATAGGAAACCTTTTTACATGTCTCAACCATGTGAAGTAAAGCATTTATAATTTACGGCGAAGCTATTAGCAACACGACAGCAACAGTGATCCCCGAGGATCAACTTCGTCCCGGACCAAGTTTTGTTATTGTGTCCTTAGCAAGACACTTTACCCACCTTCGTGCCTAGTCTGAAAGTGGCATGTGCGTGATTGGTGGTGGCTGGAGAGGGGTTCATGGTGCAGACTGGCAGCCTCGCTTCAGTCAGTCAGTACAAAAGTATCTTATCACCGTCAAGTGTGGAGTGAATGAATGATTGTGTAGTGTAGTGAGCATAATGCCACCACATAGACGCTTGTACGCACCTAATTTAAAGTACATTCATATTTATGTACTCTGTTAATGTTAAGCTTTATTTAATACTATCAAAACAAACAAGTTTAGTGTGTTCCCAATAGAACTGAGCCGTCTATTTTGGAGCCTCACCCTACTTTGGCTTCACTTCTTGTACTGTTGCTATAATATTGTCCTCATGGTCTTGGCAAAGGAACAGTTTTATTCTAAGAGAGGTGTAGATGATATTTTGGGTTTGGGAGTCACTGGCCTCTGCCTTATTAGGACACTCCTATTCCGACTAGCTATTTAAAAACTCCCCGCATTCCTCTCAACGCTGTCAGTCAGGCACGCAGATTGAGCGATGAAGACAATAGCTCCAGATAGACCCAGGTTACAATGAAGCTAAATGCGCGTACGCTGATGTAGGTGAGGGTGGCGCAACGTCGTGTCGAAATTTCCCATGATGCACCTCTCTTCACATGCCTTGTTATTGGCGGTCTCACGCTTAAATTAGCCATGTCTGCGGCCAGGAAGTATTTTGCCTATAAATACAATGCAGCAAGCTGATAGTGCCAACAGAGGAAGGGGCATATGGAAGGGCAAACAACCAGCTCACTGCATGTGGGGAAATTTAACAAGTCATAACTTTTATTTGCATTATAGCTAGCAATAATACATAATGCTCGAAGTATGCACCATGGACAACAGGTGCCAAAAAGATTAATTGAAAACATATTACTGTTAACTAATGTCAAAATACTAAATGATACAAGCATATTTGTTCATTAAAGGAGCAGACAAAGCATACACACACACAGAAATGTCAAATAAATTGTCAATAATGAAAATTAAAATTGTCTATTCAGATAAAAATTACCAAAAAAAAGGATTAATTCTGTATAAATGCGATGTACGCATTGGGAGAATTTGCAGAGAGGTGACTGAAGCTGATAGTTTTGCACTGTTGTTCTGCCCATACAGTATATTCAGTCTATTTTTTATTTGTATTTACCTTATTTATAATGCATGTCCTAATTTTTGTTTAATCATAGTTTATTTACAATTATTATTCATTGTTTTATATTGTACCATAACTGACAGTGACAATGACAATAGCAATAAAACGTATTTTGACTGGCTGTGTGTTAGTTGTCGCTTCTCATCTCTATCTGAAAAAACTGTTCTGAAGCTGTGCATGTGTCAAAACAGTGAATGCATGTAAAGTCTAGTGAGGTGCCAAAGGCTTTATGAGAGCGATAGGAACTCAGTTAGATATCATATTCAACTACAGACTTCCTCATTTCACAGTGTGAAAATCGGACACTTGGCCCAGCTTTTAAAAAGAGGCAGTAAAACTCAAATGCCCTTTGGTTTGGCAGAATTATTACACTTTCAGTCCATGGGGTTCAGAATGATGAGAAATTAGGACTGTTGCCAGCCACTGTCCTAAAAATATCTATCTATAAAACACAATATCATATCATTTGAACGGATGAAAGGCTTTAAAGTGTTGCATATAACTGGAAGCTGAAACCTATAAATAGAGATTAAGAAAGTACTCCAAGAATGTATAATGTAAGGACCCTTATTGTGCCCACGTCTGGTTCTGGAAGTATCAATTCTCTCTTATGAAAACAGAAGATAGCAACAAATGCATTTAGAAATTTGTGGTTTATAAAGTTTCAGATATACATTTTAGATTTACATTATAAAATTAACTAATATCATCATGATTTATTTATACCATAGAGCTGAGCAGAGAGACCTTCACAAAACTTAAGCAAACAAAAGAACCATTATTTAAAATGTAGCTCCAAATGCTTTTAATGCACCAAACTAACTCAGGACCACCCTTCTGCTACCTTCTTGCCAAAACGTATACCTATATGTACACAATATCAAAACTAAGGCTGATAAACCCTGTTAGCTAATAAGCAGCATATCAGAAGATTAACTGTTGTTTACTGAGTTGAATGCAAAACTACAGAAGCAGGAATGCAGTATGTAACAGTATACAACAGCCAAGACCATTATCACTCCTCACATAAACACATTTCTATCTTTACCATTACCACCCACAGTGCAGACACTTCCTCTGTCACCTCTCCTGTCAAATTCAGAAGAAGGGTAGTTAGCAATGCCCCTGGACATCTCCAATTCCTCCCCTCTCCACCCCATTGAACAAGCTCACCCAAACATGACATCACAGGAGTCTATAGTCAGTCTATATGGGGGTTTCACATCACTGGAGGTCCATAAAACAAGCTGTGAGGAAGTAGAGCCTGAACAATTCGAGATAATGATCAAATCTACATTCCTTTAAGCTCTGTTGTGCGTTGAAGGGCTGTGTGATGTGTTTAGGTTTGATGCAATCAGTTTCCTCAGATTTGTAGTAGAGACAGGTGTCATGGTTTGTCTGTAGGAAGTCTAAATAGAATGGATTTTCTGCTTTAAAGGTGCACTGTGTAACTTTTTGGTTGGAGGCCCATCGCCTGCTTGTTTCTATGGTTATATCATTGCTCTGGCTAGAATGTTCCACAGTATGACATCAACAGCTCTACCTCATATTTAAATTACATTACAAGTGGTTTTATAGTCTAAAACACCTAGAAAAACATGGATTCTGACTGTGAATGTCATTGCCTCTCCACAGATCTGACCTATAAAATCTGATTTGGTGTCCATGATGATAAAAATGTTTAATGTCATATTGTGAAACATTCCTGACAAAGGAATAACATCTCCGTGAAGGAGAGCGTGGGCCCTCCACCAGAAAAGTTTATGCAGTGCACCTTTAAGAGAGAGTGGATGTTGTTGTTAAATAATCTTTTTTTTCTCAAATCAAAAATATCAGAAATGTTTCTAATTCACAATTCAAGAATTTGAACATGAGTTTTATGTTGAAGGGAGAGTCCGGAATTTTGGACATAGGACCTCATTTCCTAGTGAGCCAGAGTGTTGGAGACGTGTGGAGACACTTTTTAAAATATTTCATTCAGTCCTTGTATTTGCAGAGGTCACTGGTGCTAGGCTAGTGCGTGTCAATGGTCATAGTTATCCTGCCACTAAAAACAGTCTTACCCACTCCACAAAACACCTGAACCAAATTATTCTGCCAGACTGTCAATGTAAATGTCTCTGTTGTTAGAATAATGTTTGAAATAAAACCAACCTTGCACCGCTTGAATCGTCACAAGTTGAGGGACTATTTTCTCATATATTGGTCCGCCGCTGCCAAGCTCTCTGTCAGGAAGTATAACTCGTTGCTGCTGCTCAGACATAAATTTTTCAAATGCAAGGTTGGTTTTACTTCTAAAATTATTCTATCAACATAGACATTCATATCAACAGTCTGTCGTTATAATTGTTTTGCTTCGGGTGCACTGTGGAGTGGGTAAAACTGTTTTAGTGGCAGGCTAACTATGGCCATTGACATGTGCTAGCCTAGTACCGGCAACCTCTGCAAATGGAATACTTAAAAAAGTGGATGGAATATTTAAAAAAGTGTCTTCACATGTCTCCAACACTAACTAGGATGTCCAAAATTCTGGAGTGTCTGTTTAAAGTTCAGAATCATATCCTTTCTTAGTATTCTGAGCAAGATATTAAAACTACTAACAGCTATGACAGTCTTTCCATATTTGTATCTATTACAAAGCTAAATTTGTAGTACAGGCATAGTTCCTAAAGCACCTTTGAACTTGTGTGGTGGAAAATTTTAATTAAAATTATTTCCCAGATTCCCAGAAACCAACATAAAATGGAATGCGCTCCAGTAAACAGGGTAAATATA